CTTCGAAGGAACCACCGTGAGCTGCTTCGCCACTTGAGCGAATCAAAGCCTGCGAGAGGGGGTTAGACGTTTTGACGGGAAAAGGAGCCTGGCCTAATGGGGGGGGGGCGTGTTCCCTCAAGGGATGAATCCCCAAAATCAATCCCCAATGAATCAACCAGGAAGCGTTCCCACATAGAAACACCGGATTTGTTCGCCGGAAGTTGGCCAAATCGCTGTCGTTCTTAGCTAAGGAGTTGTTTTTTTGGGGCCGGTTCCTTCGACGATCGAAGGTCAAGAGCCCCGAGCACATCGATGAGCTGCTGCAGAAGAAGGCGGATATCCACAAAGCGGGGCTGCCCTTGGGCCTGGTTCCCCTGGCGAAGGTGGGGAACGGGTTGGAGATGGGGCAACCGAATGGGGTGGAACGATTCGGCCGTGAAAAGACCTGGTGGCGGGAATCTCCATGTTTTACGGGTAGACCCAGTAAGGGCCAGAACCTGACAACCCTGATCTTTGGTGTACCCAGAGTCAATCAAGATGGAAAATGGGTTGCAGTTTCAAGGGAATTCGAAAGGTTTAGGGCACCGCCCCCTAAAATGGTTGGTTTCCGAAAAGAGACAAAGGGGAGGCTCATCCTTTTGGGTGAGACCTTTTTGGGGTGTCCCCAACGGTTGGGAGGGTGAAACTTATTTTAGAACAGGGTCTCCTACGTGTTTCCGTTTGGCACCACCCGCCAAAAACAGCCCCCTAAGTAGGAAAAGACCCTCCATCAAGGGGAACTACGGGGCTGTGTTTGTGTTGTTTGTTTTTGTTGTTTTGTTTTTTTCCTTCGTGGACGGGAGGGGGTTTGGGGCTGATTCAAACGGAAACCAAAGGCACACCAACGGTTTTGAGGCACTTTAAGCCACAACATGGGTGGTGTGTGTGTTTTTTTAAAGAGGGCGTAAAAATCGCGGAACCCTCCAAACAGTTGGTTTCCAAGACCCCAGCCTCACAACCGAGCCGCCCTTACCGGCTCAGGCCGGGGGCATGGGAAACCTGGAGACCGTGTACAAGCTGTTGGCGCTGCGCTGCGACCCCAACCCCCCGCTGGTCGGCCTGGGCGTCACCCCGCTGCTGTCCGCCGTGGCCTTGAGCCGAGGCAACCCCAAAGGCCTTGAGACGGTGCGGGCCTTGTTGACACTCGGCGCCTTTCTGGGTATGGGTCAGAATTCAGCCAGGAATTGGACCGCAGAGTTTCGTCCTTGGCTCCATTTACCAAGGTGCCATTTTGGGTACCCATTTTTGACCCACAGCCAGATCATGGGGGCTGCGGGGGAGGGGATGGGGAGGGGAGGAAGCCCAAATATGCCCTTATTAAGCCCTTACTAGGTGTTGTGTAGGGTGTATTTGGGCTCCCTCCCCCCATCCCTCCCTCCCCCAGCCCCCATGAGCAGATCTTGTGGTTGCAAGCAGGTCAGATTTCTTGAGACTCGGGCTCGGCTTTCTGGAGGTGTTGTATTTCTTTTCGAGACAGCGAATCCTTGTTGTGAGCAGGGCTTGGCCTGTGCATTTCTTTCCACTTCCATGATACCATCGTGAAATCGCATGCCCCATGACTGCTTCTTCACTTAAAGTGAGGCGACGGTTCGCCGGTTGCAGATTTTGTTACGGACCTTTTTGAGACCTGGGATGCAAAACCTGCAGCTGTTGTCTGTCTTCTTGCGTTATTTTCAATCCTGCAGGTCTGTCGTGTTTTGTTTTCCTTTTTTTTATATAAAGGCAAGGAGTTTTTTTTGAGACCTGGGCCTTTGTCTGCAGATGTATCTTTTGCGATGTTCAAACGTTTTTTTTGTTGATAAGCATGCCTTGGGCTTGGTGGCTTGGTCTGATCTTTTCGGGTCAAAGTGCAACACTCACTTGAGTAAGTAAAGTGGAGTGACTACGCCAAACTGGGGGAACCGTGCCATCTTCACCCAACTGCATTTGCGCGGAAATGGCGAATCCACACAGGGGTGGCTTCATTGGCTTAAAACATCGCACATGCGCAGACCGCATCGCAAAATCGTGAGTCTCTATCCCCAGGTTTGGTTGTTGTTTCACCTTTTTCGTGTTAAACTCCGCATATCTAGTTGCTTTAGCTCTCCATTCGGCAAATCCCAGAGGCCCCATAGGCTCCACATGGCTTCAATCAATGCGTCAGGAAGGCCCGGGCCAATCCCAACCTGGCATCCAGACAGACGGGGACCCTTTGGCTGACCTTGGTGGGCGTTGGCAGGGCCAAGGTGGGCAGCTCAGATCAGGGTTTGGGAGGGGGCTGAAGAGTTACTATGGATGTGTCATTTTTCAAGGTTTCTGGGGTCCTCATTGTGTTTCCCACCTTTTTCTCTCAGACACTTCCTCGAAAATTGGAGACCCCGCGCTGGCATAAAGGAGGCCAACCAAAAAAAACAAGAACAATTCTTGGGACTCCGAAAGCCTATTTTAAGACATCCTTTGAGCTTCCAGGTGGCCCTCTTGGGCCGTGAGTTCTGCGCTCCCCAGACGCGTTCCGCGGCGACGCTGCCCGGGTCCACGCCGTTGCTGGCTGCGGCCGCCATTGGCAGCGAAGAGGTGGTGGAGCTGCTGCCGCTAGGCATTGCTCGGCTATCCTTCGCCCTCCCCAGGAAACGGGCTAGCATGTCACCATTCGATCCGGTCGAATTGATCCGGTCGAATGGGAAACAACCAGAGGCCGGCACGATTCCTTGTCCATTCTTTTCAACCATGCTCATTTTCAAAAGCCAGCCGATTTCCCTGAGCTTCCGTTTTTTAGAAAGAAGGATCCCTGCAAAGAATGGGGAAGGTACCCCTAGAGTTATGCGGTTTTGGTGGATCCACCCCCGTAGCAAAAGAGTACTGAAAGAGTATTAAAAGAGGAAGAGCTGGTACTACAACGTGGCAAAAACCACAGTAGTTGTAGTGTTCCCGCAGCTCTCCCCTAGTTTTTCCTCTGCGCAACGTCCCCCTCTAAATCAAGTGTCGAAAATCGATTCCCCTTTTTCTCCAGAGCCACTGGGGGGTCTAAAAGTTGGAGCGGGGGTTGGGGCTACCATTAAACTAGGCTAAGCCATGAAGCCATGACCACAGGAAAATGTGATTCGTCACTATTTCGCACCCTTATTACCCTTGCAAGGTTTGGCTTGTGCTCTTTTCCCGGTGCTCGTTTTAGGTTGGTTTCAGTGGAAGCTACAAGGACACGTTTTGGGGGTTTCGCTCGTCTCTGCTATTCGGTTGGGTCTTTAATCTTTGACTATTTAGAGATACGTGTTCCCTCACTCCGCTTTGCTGGAACGTATCCCGAGGCTGAGCTACGGGGCGACTCCTCAAGCCAATGACCGGGGCGAAACCCCTGAGTTCCTGGCAGAAGCCAATGGACACTGCAACGTGCTGCCCTGCTTCCAGACGCTCTCAGTATGAGCCCGGCCCTTCCGATCTCAGCCTTTTTCGTGGTGGGTGTGCCTCAAAATGAGGGACCACTCCAAGTGGTTGGTGCCCTTATGGTTTCCCAAGGCCCTGCCAAAAAGTTGTCCCCCATTTTGGGACACACCGTGATGGTTTGGATTGGAAATTTGGACCCATAGCTTCTTGTGGAGGTCAAATGGGAAACCACCCCGGAAGACCACCAAACCACCAACCCAAAGTCGGTCAGTCCTCAAAAGTCCTATAGGCCTTTCAATCACATTGATTTACTCCCAGATGAACGTGAAACACTAGCCATGATGTTTAGAGGAATGTCCTTTTGCGGGATCCCTTCTTTGGGTTACAAGATTTGCGGGTGGGTGCATACAACCTTCTGCACTTCTGATTTTCGTTCGGCGTCCGACTGCGTCCGCAAACGCGGCCGTTCTCTGGATGCTGGACCCTTCTCGCCGAAGAGTTGCTGATCGAGGGGCGCGCTGACCTGTAGAAACCCTTGGTGAATCGAACAACTCACCCCCTGAGTCCTGACTTCAAACTTGTTCAGAAGACGGTTGAGACGCCCTTTGGTGGTAAATAACAAGTGTGGACTTTTTATCCACTCTGCTTTTTCTGCCGGCGCACCGTGCGTTTTCTTTTTTCCTTTTTTCTTCTTCTTTGGACATGCAGCCGCGTGCATTTGGCCGCACGGCCGTCCGTTCCGCGCGGCGTTTGCGCCCTGTGGCTTTCAGCATCTTTCAGCTTTCTGAGCGGTCTGCTCCATAGGTCCCGTGCTGGCCAACATTGCCAGCAGCCGGGTGCCCTGCGCCCTAGGTGTGGTTTCACTCGATTGCTTATGCAAGTCATGCCTGAAGGGCAGGGGGATGAAGGCGGAGTGTTAGTGAGAAAGGTCATGCAGGATGTCGGGAAGTGCAAATTTCGGGGTGCGCTGGCATACTGCCAAACAGCGGGCTCTTGTGGGGAATGTGCGGGCGGAGAATGGGACCCTTGCCTTCGTTCGAGTGCTAATTTTCCCGTGTGGCCCCCCAAAAGCACGGCGCCCTTCAAAGGTACTTGCCAAAAATAACTAAACTTCCCCCTTGGGATGGTTAGGAAGAGCCAAATGTGGTCGAACTGAAGTTCACCCTTTTCACCAGCGGACCCAAAACTTTTGCCGTTTGGTCGCCCGCCCGCACCCAGACTTTTCACACAGGTAAAGTAGAGGGTTCACCCGCACCCAGACTTTTCACAGGGGTTTGACAGGGAATGTCGACATAAGGATCTAGAAGGGTTTGTACCGGTGGGTTCCGTAAAGTAGAGGGTTCTCAAAGCTACTTTTGGGGCGGCTACCATCTACCTTTTTAACCAACATTGAGAGACATTTACAGGATCATTTCGAGGATTTCGCTTTGTCTTCTATATCTGGCAGCGACCATGGGTGCTTGCTGTGTTATCCTGTGTCATGCTGCTGCCGCGCTGGCCCACAGGTGGCTCGGTTTACAGGGCCCTGTCATGAGGGTTTGAGGCAGCCAGTTTGGCCATTCCTCTCAGAATACTGGCCGCGTCGCCATTTTTATCACATCCGAAATCAAGGCGCGCCACCAGAAACAACAGATACTGCCTTAGTCGAGGCCTCGCTCACGTGGCTGCCATGGGAGCCTGTGCTTCGCAGTGTGAAGGGGAGGATGCTTCAGCAGCAGCTCCTGTGAAGCATGTGCATCAGTGCCTTTTCCCAATGTACGTCGTGAAGGCCATTGGTGTCAAACGATGCCGGTCGTGACGGAACTGGGGTGTGAAAGTTATAGAGTTCTAGTCTACAATTTGTTTTCAGCATAGAGCGGTCTACCTATGTTGCACTCAAATTGACAGGGGCATGTGACCAAAACCAGTTGGGACCACCTGCTTTCAGGTTCGCGCTCGACAAGTTGAACGTCTTTTGGCATATGCGTGAACATGGATTTGAGACATGCATTTGAGACATGCATTGCATAGTGGAACGGGTGCTTGCATGTCCACTACTGCTGTTGCCCCAAGTGTGTCTACACAGGAAAGGGCCAGGGTGGTCGCTCTGGGCTGGATCTGGGCCGGACTATTTTTTGTGGTGTTTACGTACAACAGTGACTTGGCAAAATCTGGAAGTCGGCTTCGCAGGCGCGCCCGAAGTGCGTGGGACGAGGGGTCACGCTTTTTTTTTGTGAGATGCGCGTGCGGATTTCGATTGCAGGCTCGCGAAAGCTTGGTTGGCTGGGTTTGGCGCTTTTCGGGTGCAGTGCTAATTCCGAAAACGGCTGGCGAGGGTGGGTCCGGCAGGGAAACTGGCAGTGGCACCATCCGAATTGAAGGGCGTACCCCGCCGGGGGAACTGCAGCACTTGCTGCGTGATGCTTGGAGGTCTTGGGCGGCACCCGAGTTGGGGAACACCCCCAAGGCGAGGCTGTCCGCCAAGCTGGAGACTCTGTGAATCACATCACTTGGTCTTCAGCAAAAGAGTGGGCGTCTGCGTCGGGGGCTGCCCGGCCTGTGCGCTTGCAGCGTCTTCTCTCCGGCCTGCTGGCGGCCCGCTCTTGTCCGGCCGTGGTGGGGAGTGGCCGAGTAGGGTGGTTGAGGCTGTGTGGGCTCGCGTTACCCTGCTCAGGTTGAGTAGTGACAGGACGCTGGGCGCAGGGGCGAGGCGGCGGACTGGGCAGCTGCGCTGCTTGGTGGCCTCGCGGGCTCGACGCACTACGAAGCGATGATGATGATGATGATGAATTGTTGCATCGAAGTCAACCCTTTGCGGACTTTACGTGTGTTGAATCGCTGTCGCTGTGGCACGGTGCAAGATTTGAACATCGAAAGTAACCCCGCGGACTTTGGCCTTGTTTGGCCGGATCGCTCTCGCCGTGGTTTGGCGCAGAATTTTGAGCACCAACCGTGAACCCTCTGAGGATTGTGAGCGGGTCAGAGCGCCCTCGCTGTGGCGGGATGCGAACGTTTTTGGCATCGAAAGTGAACCGCCCGCGGGATTTGGACTTTAGATCGCGGCGCAGATTACAAACATCGAAGTGCAGGACCTGCAGAGGTAGTCTTGCACGAGATCTTGTGGAGCCTGACAGAGAATTTTAATATATAGAGATTCGTGTCACTCCGCACAAATCCTTCCAAGAGATGCTATTCTGAGATCGCAGGATGTTGAACAGAGAAGCTGTGTGTACATGGTTCTCTCATGCATCCTGTGCACAAATCTTGCCAAGAAAGCATACCCAGACATTTTTCGTTCAGACCCTGCTGCAAAGTTCCTTGTAAATATTTCTGCGGAAGATCCTCTCAAAAGGTCTTGCACAGACCCTCTCAAGGATTCTGCGCGCGAATCTTGCCAAGAGACCCTGTCCAGACATCATGCACACAGATCTCGCCAAGAGATCCTTGAAGACCTCTAAGACTCTACAGGCTCTCCTGCAGGGCTGCCGGCGAGGCGTCTTGACATGCAACCTTGGCAAGCCCTTCGCAAAACAGGACCAGGATATCTGTTGGGGGTCTTTGAAGGATCTCTGCGTAAGATCTCTGGCAGGGCAGGATCTCTACACGAGGGCGCCCTCTTCAAGTAGGGAGCATCCTCTGCAAGATCTCGAGCCCCGCGCACGGCCTCATCTTTGCGAAGGACCCCGCCGAGAAAGGTGATCTTTGTTGGGAGGATTTCTAGAAGGACCAGTTCAAGATATGTTTGGATTCTGGATCTCGGCGCAAGATCTGGCGGATAGAAGGTCTCGCGCATGCTCTTGAAACAGGAGGCCTTGCGAAGCTCCTATGGAAGGTCTCCTGTGGAAAGAAGTCCTCTGTGGACGGAGCTTTGCAGGATCTGTGGATAGGGTCTCTTGGAAAGATCTGTGCGCAGACTTGGGGTTGTTGAAGGTCTTGCCGGTGTAATTGCATTGGCTTGAGTGGGGGCAGGGTCCGTTGCCCAACTCCGGGCCCAGATTGTGGCGGATTCCGGCTCCTGAGTTGCATTTGCTTCTCAAACTTAGTGACTGCGGCCGGCCAACTGCAGGCCCAGATGTTTGTGCAGGTTCTGGCCTTCCATGTGTTTTGTTTCTGAAATGGTGTGACCGCGGCCGGCTTTCCCCTGGCAGGTCTCTGACTTTCTTGAGATGGAGGGCGTGCCAGAACCACACCACATACTCCTTCAGAAGGGTTTGCTGCACCAATGGGCACCAGGCATGCGGGTGATTTTCGTCTCGCACCAATGGCTGGGCAGCGCTCACCCGGATCCGCAGGGACGACACGCGGCGGCGTTGCGAAGCACTCTGCAAGGAATACTGGATGGAGTCTTGGCACCTAGGTGTTGGAAGGCGCTCGCCTTGGGACGCCCTTTGTCCACTTGGGCTTTTGGTTTGAGGGTAGCCGGAATCGGGAGGTCTGTTAGAGGAACCCCGAATTAGATCATGTCCTTTCTAAACTGGGAGCCGCCCCTTGGTCTGAAGCCAACATTCAACCATGACTGGGTGACCGGGTGTGGCTGCCCTATTAATTCTTTACGTGGTGGGGCCATTTTCACGCTGGGTTTTGGTTTCGGCGCCTGGGTAATCTGTTGGTTGCAGCTTTGACAGTGATCAGTGATCGCCGTATCCAACAAATGGAAGATTCCACATTCAAGAGGCTTAGCCTTGCGGATTGTGACAATCCAAGCCCAACAAACGTCGTACCACTTTGATGTCACGCTTGTGGTGCCTTCTGACATTAGTCAAGGATCTCTGCAAGTTGAGTTGGATGTCATTCACGACTTGGACATCCAATTTGGAGATGTCGTGCCTGGGCCGAAAAATGCAGCAATCATCGGCTTGGGTTGGGCGAATAGTTCCTGCAGTTGTTCTAACATATTTGCCGCGTTTGAAGTGGGCCAACCTTCCCCAAAGCAGGTGGGTGCGTCTCAAACAGGTAACCCGATTATTGTTTTTTGTTCATGGACACACGTTTTTTTTAGGGGCCTATTTTATTGTGAGAACCACGCAGGTGGACATTTTTGAGGGTACACGTGGTTGGCTGGCTCAAAGAACCCAGTTTGGAATTTGACGCATGCTATTCTAAGGTTTACCCAGAGGGAACCAGCAGAGATCAGCAGAGGATTGGTAATTTGTTGTCATTTTTCCAGACCCTTCTTAAATAAATGTCTGAATCTAAGAAAGCCCACAGGTGGACCCCTATGGATTACACCCAGAACCCACAGGTGGAGTACACTCGACAAAGCGTACTTTCCGGCTACATCTTCTTGGACTGGTTCGCGATTCCCCAGATCACCGCTCGCGTCGACGGGGTCAACGAAGAGAGCACCAAAAGTGATGCAGCGCTGGCCGTTCAAAGCATCCCGTTCTATGCAGCTTGGTGGTTAGCCATTCGGGTCCTTAGGCGTTCTTAGACGTTTAGACTTTTAGACTTAGAGTTTAGACATTTCCCACTAAAAGTTGATTTAGTAAGGCCATTGATCCCTTTTAGACATCGCCCCACTTGACCCTTCCCCAATGGACTGAGGTGGAGACCTCGAACATTTTTCTGGCGCTGGTGCCCGAGCTGAAGCACCACGACACGGGGAAGTGTTGTAACTACACCTCCTGGCTGTCCAGAGGAGAGCTCAAACTCAGTCATGTTTCCCTACATGGGCAAATGGGGACCCTTAAAATGGCTGGCTTCCATTTAACCTCCCTCTAACCCAACCCCAAGAAGGGGTACCGCACATCCCGGTCGCGCAAGATATCAAGAGCGCTTTTCGAGGGATCCGTTCCGAGCTTACTTTTGGAAGTGGTGGTTTCCATGAAGCCGACAAGAAAACAGGAGACGTAGCTGTTGGGGATGGCTTTCGAGAATGGACCCAGTGGAAAGATTGTTTCGGATGATGCCAGGTTAAAGCCAGTTGTTGGGGTATGGTTCAAGCCTGGAGCAGGGTGATTCTAGTTTGCAATTGTCAGTGCGGGAAACGTGTCCCTTCGCCACGGTGTACAGGAACTACTGTACCCCAAGCAATCATGGGTTGATAGCGAGACCAAGTCTTTTCTTTGTCCATGGATCTATGTGCGTATGTCCGAAGATAATGGTATTTAATATTGACTGGATCGTTGTTTTTTCGCAAATCCCTGAATCATCCCAAATTATTTTGCAGGCTGCTATCCCGCAATTTCCGTCGTGAATCGAAGACGTTGATTTTCAAGGGGCCCCGCTTGGCCCCTTGAAGGATGGTGTCGAGCAGAGCTATGGTGCCACCTCTTGTCCAACAAGCCTTTCACGCAGGCGGTTTTGGCAGTTGCAATGTCTGAGCTTGGCCTGGGTCCATAGTGACATTTGGCCAGCAGCGACATGGGGGTTCTTCGAAGTTGGATGGTAAAACTCATTAGCATTGGCCCACACAATGGTCTAAGCAAATGGCGATGCACTTCGGTTTCAGGAAGCATCCATGAAATCGGCAGATTGCCTTTGGCCTTCCGACTGACCCGTCGCCCCGGGCTTCAGGTCATCGTGGTCTACTCCACCAAAGAGTCGCAGTTCATGTTCCCCAGAGACTGGCAGGAGCAGATTCCCAGGCTTGATTCTTTGACCCAGAATGGATACCAAAAAACATGGAGCTCTCCATTGTTAATTGTAGCGGTAAATCCATGGTTTTTCCCGGAAATTTCAGCCATCCCTCAGCTTCAGTCCTCCGAGAAACCAAAAAATGGACTGCCCTCACTTCAGCGCACTGTATCAGGGCATGGCTTATTTTAGTGGATGTTTCCACTTAGGAAGCAAGCAGTTGCTGATGGGAAGTCAGACATCTTTCGCATGATTTTCAAGACAGCCTTCCTTCAAGGATAAGCTTGTCATAAAACACGAGATCTCATTTGTCAGATTTCTCCTGAGATGGGAGATCCCCCCTATACATGGGTGCCAGACATGCGTCAGATTGAGTTCGGAGCATCGCAGGTCAGACAGTTGTTCATGTGTTGACGTGGGCTGTGCAGGAGAACACCATTGATGAAGGGGACTTTACCGTGGAAAGCGACCGCCATGTGGTGAAAAAGCTGGGGGAAGTAGCGCTGGAACACAAGATTCAGAATCTGTCCTCAGCAGGCCCTTTGAATCTGTATCGATTCTTTTTGGCCAGAAGATCGAAGACGCAATGCCTGACTTAGCTTACCTTTTAACTTTTGCCTTTAGGGTCTTGTCTTTCACTTGTCCTTTTCAACCAGCAGCAAGTGGCCACTTTTGGCAGAAGTTCGGATGAATTCGTCAGGATGTTGGGAGAGGCTCCCATGACTTGGGACGTGGAGAGTTTTCTGCGGCATTTCAAGTTCGACTTAGACTCTGCCATCAGTGACAAGAGCAGCATGAGCGCAGTGCTTTGTGCCACCTTCGCCGGCGATGTGGCAATGGTCCAGTTTTATGGCCAGACTTAACACGCCGTTTTGCCAAGTATAGCCCTTTTGCCGTTGTGGCTTTCCTGCATTTTCCCGTTTTTGTGCAGGGGGCCTAAAGCCAACAGGGAAAAACTGAGAGACTACGGATTCAAAACCGAACTTTTGGTTTCCCAATTTGTGGTTTCTATTCAACGTGGCCCGAGAAGGACTTCGACACTTCACGTTTTGTTTCTAGCTCCCTTGGGGCAACAGAGGTTCTTGGCCAACAAGAAAGCGGACCTCAACGTGTCACTGCACGGCTTGGAGCCTTTGGGCTACTGCACCGGCTGGAATTTGTTGATGGTGGCTCTGGAGTCGCGACAGTCCCCGGAGATGAGTCCCGGCCGCATCCCCTTCTAGTAGGCTTTAAACGGGCAGCAAAAGGAACAATGCCTCTTTTTTTGGAGGGGATCTTTAATTTGGAGGTTTTTTTTCCCCCCGCTTCTGGCTTTTCGGCTTCTTGGCTTTTCGCCTTCTTGGCTTTTCGCCTTCTTGGCTTTTCGGCTTCTTGGCTTTTTGGCTTCTTGTTGGTTTACGCGGCTTTTGGTGGCTTTGGCTTTTTGCATCCTTTGCATTCCCAGTTCAAACCAGGTTCGCAGCTTTTCGCTGGTTTATGCGGCTTTTGGCGGCTTTGGTTTTTCGCATCCTCTGCTTTCCCAGTTCCTCTCCGGTTCATTGTTTTTTGGCTTTGGCTTCCCGCATCATCAGCATCACCAGCCCCTCCCAATTTGAATCATCACTTGTTCGAACATCATGGGGGGGGCTGCCCCCCAACCCCCCGCTACTTTTCAGATTTTCTACACAGATTTAATTGCACCCCTAGTTGAATCATCACTTCCTCGAACCTCATGGGGGCCCCCGCTGCTTTTTAGACTTTTTGCAGAGATTTAATTGCTCCAACTTCTGCGAACATCATGGGGGGAGACAGCTTTTGATTGCTTTGCAGCGAGTGCCCTGCCCTCCTATTTGAATCATCATTTTTTCGAACCCGTCAACCCGCCAGCTGCTTTTTAGTTGTTGTTACCCACGATTTGTTGGTGATGCTAGGGATGTTGGTCGGACATGCGGGGGATGTTGAAAACGATGCTGGGGATGTTGACGGGCTAGAGCAAAATAAATCATTTTTGCGAGAAAATGCTGTAACATACAACATTTTACTGGCCCGGACGAAAAACACAACAAAACAACAACACAAACATTACACCAGCCTCGACCCCAAACAGCAAAAAAGCATGACAGGTCTGTAACCAAAAAAGGCTTGTCTCCTTCATGTACGGTGCGAAATTGAGTAGCTTATGTGAGCAACACACAGTTACAATCAGTCTATGCATGTCCCTGTAGTAGGAAGTCCCCTTTTTTGGGAAGAGGACACGTCGGGTCCATCCATCTCCTTGACGCCGGGTAAAAGCATCGATGTTGTTCATTGACTTCCAGGAGGACATGCCATGTTCGAGAGTGAAGGCCAGGGATTCGCTAACACCTGGCATTAATCAAAGGAACTTTCGAAGGAACTCCCGTAGTACGGACGCTCAATGCACTTTTCCATCACCGCAGCATTTGGTGGCCGTCTCGCTGAAACTCGCGCATCAGTTTCAGAGGCTTGCGGCCGAGACTGGGCGCCACTTCTGGTTGCTATCTTCTTCTCGAGCTCGGCTAAAGGTCTTGGCACAAGCAAAGCAAGAGAGAACTTGCATAAACTTGCAGACTGCGGTGTTAGCAACTCTTATTAGATTATACAGCCACCGAACATGTGTCGAAACATGGCCATGACCGTGTGTCGCAATTAACCTTTTGCGAGAACGGGTCGGAATCAATGTTCAAGGCGTAGTGGAGGCGAAGCTGTGTCGTCAAAGAAGAAATGGATGGGCCATGTCTTTAGCACGTGTTGCTTCGGTGAGCGATGGTCTTGATGCTATCAGCACATCCCTCCAGCTTGGTTTCCCAACAAGCCACGTATGCTGCAAGCAAGTAAACTAGAATCTCGCCCAGAGCTGCCAAATTCAAGTCGAGATCTCGGAAAAGAACGTTGATTGCGAGAATGAAATGGAACTGCTCGCATTTCCAAAAATACTCACTGCGGGAGGCTAGCACAAGCGCCATGCAATACAGCTCACGTTGAACCCCTTTGGCGTTCCATGGGTCCAGAGACTGTAGGGAAGCTAGCGCCTCAGAGAATGATAATGGCACCTTACGACGTCACCATAAAAACCCTTGAGCCCTCGCACTTGGAAGCCCTGAGCACTTTCGGACACGTGCGAAACAGCAGCGTCCATATTGCGGAATATGTGGAAAACAAGGCTTGGAAATCTGTCTTCAACCCTTCTGTCAGGAGGCAACGAGATATGTCAAAGCCGCGACCTTGGCATCACGAAGGTGTGAAATGCTTCAAGCAAAATGCGTTTGTCAGTGGGACTGCATAGGTTGCAAAGAGGAAAAAGCGTCGCAGGACCAGCTAGCGAAGCGAAAGACGGGATATGATTTTGGCCGGGCCACACGACTATCCAACTGAGAAGGTGCTAAATACTGGCAACAAGCCAGGAGGCGAGGTTTAAAACAGCACTGCCAACAAGAAAGGGTGCTCGAACTACAGTGATGCTACCAAGAGGAAACTAGAAGATGGGTGGCCCGAAAGCATGAGCAGCGCACGGCACCAAGTAAGTTCTCTGCGCAAGTTCGTCTGAGCAAGTTGTTGGCGCGAGTTCCTTTGAGCAAGTTCTCCAAGCAAGTTCTTGGCACAAATTTTCTGAGCAAGTTCTCAGAGCAAGTTTCTCTGAACAAGTTTCAATGAGCAAGTTGTCTGAGCAAGCTCTCTGCGCGCAGCGCTTGCCGCAACACACTGCAACTTCGTAGTGCAACTCAATACTGCAACTTGCTAGTGCCACTGGCTAGCGCTACTGGCTCGTGCATCTCGCTAGCGCTATCTTGCTCGTGCTACTGGCTTGCGCCATTTTGCTAGTGGCAATTTGCTAGTGCAACTCGCTAGTGCTACTTGCTAACGCAACTTGCTTGCGCAACTTGCTGGTGTCATCCGCTGGATGTCTTTCCTGCAGCGCTCCTGCATCCCTAGCATCATCAGTCGCCTAGAGCCCCCCTCCCCCCGCTTCATACGATTTTGGCTAAGATGGTGACCAACCCGCGCAAGCCCTCTAGTTGCTTCGCTGGTAAAATGCTTAGTGGAGCCGTGCCCCTTCTCCATTCCAAGGGTTTGTTGACTCGGAGCAAAACTGTCAACGAAACCGTCGACTTCTCTGTGGCTCCTCACCATCACACACATCATCACCCTCCTTCTCCTCATCATCATCCTCCTCATCCTCGTCATCCTGACCCTCATCACCATCATCATCGTCACCACCTTCATCAGCCACAGAATCAACAGAATCCTCCTCATCCACCTCAAGCAAAATGCTCGAAACCCTCAATTGTCTGCCACTGCGCACCTGCATTCATGGCTAGCACTCGCAAGCGCCAGCCCAGTCTGGTCAACTCGTCTCCCGCTTGTCTCCCTATGTCTCCCAGTTTCTGCAATCAGAGGCCAGATGCTGTGACGCCGGCTCCTCGGTCGTGTCTGCCCGCTTCTCTCCCTGTGTCTCCCGTCTCTGCGGTCAGATGCCAGACGCTGTGACGCTGGCTTGGGGTCGTGTCTCCCGCTTGTCTCCCGTGCTCCCAGTCTCGTCTCCCAGCCTGCGGTAAAGGAGGGCAGCTTCTTCTTTGCGAGTTTTGGGGCTGACCTTGCTTGCTTCCAGCTGGCCGTTTTCAATGCTTACCGCCCTCAACAGGAAAAATGAAGGTCCCGGGCCCCGGGCAAAACCAACTGAAGCTGCTTCTTCTTTGCGAGTCTAACCTTGCTTGCTGCCAGCTGGCTGTTTTCCTGCTTACAGCCCTCAACAGGAAAAATGAAGGGGGGAATTATTTAGTTTTGAGGCTGCCTGGCTTGCTTGGCATCCAGTACCCGGCGTTCGGCTCCCTTCGGCTCCCTTCGGCTCACGTGGCAGCAGCGCGCAAGCGCAATTGAGAAGCATCAAAAGCAATCCAGCTAGAAACATAGATTCGAAGCCAGAAGGAACGACTTGCAAAAATGTTTAGCAATGGGGAAAGGGGAAAGGGCATGTCGCAGATTTTGCTGTTGGCCTGTGGCCTGTGCATGTGCTCTGCACAAGTTACTCTGCGCAAGTCTTTCTGCGCAAGTGTCATTGCGCAAGTGCTCTGCGCAAGTTGCTCTGTGCAAGTCTCCACATCGCTGCCCGCGAGTGCCCTGCGCAAGTTTCTTTGGGCAAGTTGCGATTTTCCAGCCGGAGCTGTAAGAGCGCACGTCCCGTACTACTTTCACACTTAAAACCTGCGATTTTCAAGCTCCAGCTGCGGGGAGTGGACTTCACATACTACTTGTACTTGAGAGTTACGGCTTTCGCTTGCGAAGCCCGCCCGCGCACCAGGGGGGATAGGGGGGCATCGAACCCGCGACCCGCCGGTCCTGGGAGCAGGCGCGCGAGCCACGAGACAACTCGTCGCGCGAGCACCGCAGAAAACGCAAAAAACAACTCGAGATTTTGCAGCTCGACCACGCCGATCCCGGCAGAGGGTCGCGCGAGCACCGCAGAAAACACCAAAACAACCTGGAGGTTTGTTGCACCTCGACCAGGCCGATCCCCGCAGAGGGTCGCGCGAGCCAAAACAAAATCGAAAAAAAAGAAAAAAACTCGAGTTTTTGCGCCTCGACCACGCCGATCCCCGAAGAGGGTCGCGCGAGCTTGCAATGACTCCCATGACTCCTTGCACTTGCCACTTGCACTTGCAATGACTCTCATGATGATGACTCTCATGATGATGACTCTCATGATGGTGACTCTCATATGGTGACTCTCATGATAATGACTCCTTGCACGACTTTCATGATGATGACTCCTTGCAATGACTCTCATGATGATGACTCCTTGCAATGACACCCTGCAATGACTCTCATGAGAACAACTCAAGTGATTCCAGTGGAAGAACCCTTCGCCGTGCTTTCGGGAATATACTGCGACCAGACTGGGAGACACAGGGAGAGGGAGAAAGTGGGAGACACGACCCCGGAGCCGGCGTCACAGCATCTGGCATCTGACCGTAGAGACACAGACAAGCGGGAGACGACCCCGGAGCCGGCGTCACAGCATCTGGCCTCTGACCACAGAAGCTGAGGGAGACAAGCGGGAGACACAACCCCGGAGCCAGCGTCACAGCATCTGACATCTGACCGCAGAGATTGGGAGGGAGACACAGCATCTGGCCTCTGACCGCAGAAGCTGGCAGACACAGGGAGTGCAAGCGACACGACCCCGGAGCCAGCGTCGCAGACAAGCGGCAGACACGACCCACGGATCCAGCGTCACAGCATCTGGCATCTGACCGGAGAGACTGGGAGACAGGAAGACAAGTGGAAAACAGGACCCCGGAACCGGCGTCACACTTTCCCATGCTCTATACCTCAAGTTAGAACCCCAATGCTTCGCTGTTTGGGGAAAAAACACCCCCCTTTAATTTTCAGACAAACCTGTGGAAATCCGCAACTTCCAAGAAAACCAGCGGCCAGGGCTGCTGGGGGTTTCCCTTTGACATCTGTCCTTCCGACAGGGGTCACGCTGGACACCCTAGTTTGAAGGGATGAAACAAACGCCAATCGGCGTTTGGCTATGTTTGGCTCTTGCCTAAATAGGTGGATTGACAAGCCGGGCTTTGCCTTTGTACCCAATAGCCCCATTTGTCCTGACTTTTAGTTTGTAGTCTGTTCTCTCGCTAATAGCTAGATTCTTCGTGCACAAGAACATAGCAAAAGCCAGCTAGATAGGATTTTAAACTATGCATGAGTTTAAAGCAACATGTCGGTTCGGAAAAAACCCTTTATTTTGCCAGAAAAATGCGTTTGGGTTTTTAACAGGAAGCACAGCAACCCCTTTGGGCTTTCAGCCGTAGAAGGTGAATCCAATTGCAAGGCAAGCGAATCCGTCCATGGACTGGACTACGCTGAATGTGTCCCACTTGGCTGTCTTGGACCTCAAGCTTTCCTTATCCCAGTTGCCCAGTGGCGCCCTTTTTCGACTTTTTTTTTGAAACAAGGTCCCCCTTCAAAGTCAGCCAACCGCAACAAGGATGCCCTTTTTATGCCCCGGCCACTGGGCATCTGAGTTATGTTGTCACCTTGTGGCTCGGCTCCAGCTTCTTGAGCGTTGGGCTTTCCCGGGCTTTGCGGCCAACTGCTGTAGCCTTTGTCTAGGTTTTCCGAGTAGTCCCCTACTAAAAGAGACTACAGAAAGAAGTTGGTACCCTTATTCTAACCTCTCTACTGGAGGACCTAGTTGTTGTTTTCTTTCCTGAGTGCCGTTGCTTCTTCATTTGCATCCTCTCTGTCCTTTTGGCCTTCCGGGGTGGCTCCTCCACACGCAACTCCATGTTTCCCCTTCTTGCTGTTTGTTTTCTTTTTTCCTTGCGTGGCCTTGTTTGCTTTTGCTACCTTTTGCTGGTCATCCTCCTTTCCTTCATGGGCACGCTTTCCCATTTCGAATTGCTGTGTGTTTCTGCGTTCCTTGTGGTTTAGGTCGTTCTCGCAAGCATACATGAGTATATTTGTTGACCTCAGGGTTTCAGTTCAGAGCGGGTTCACTTGAGAGGAGGGTTGGCTTTCAAGGTTTAGCGGCGGTCCTACCTGATGCTTTTGCTTGAAGCCTTTGTTGCGCAATCTGTGACTAAGGCGTTTTACGTGAGGTTTCCACCCGTGAGCAAACAGCGTGCCAGAACAGTGTGGGGGCACCCCCTCCTGTGAAGACAGCTGGAGTGAATCCTTTGGGGAACCTGCGGGCGACATTTCTTCGGTGTCAGCCAGACATTGAAACAAACCTACCCACACCACCTGCTCACCTTTAAAACAACAACGCCTGTCGAATAGAAACAGCGCAACAATGTCAAAGAGCCGTTTCGGAATCAGACCATTGAACTCAAGTTAGGTTGCGGAGTGTTTGGAGCACCTTTCATTGAAGCTCTCATCAAACTCTCTCCTGCTACCCCGCGGGGAATCTCTCATGGCGCTCCTTCGAGTCAGTGTCTTATTCTAAGAGTATGCCATTTGAACCCTTAAGCAACCCTCTCCTGTGCCTGTTCAAGCAAAGCTCGGTTCAGCCCATCAAACAAGACCTCAACGGAACAGTCTGGTTGACGCGTTAAAGGCAAGCAAACCCCGGTTGCAAGCCCTCAAGCCAATTTGGGCTCAGCCCTCTCAAGCCACACGTTTAGTTGATTTGCAAAGCAAATCTCTCACCAGGTGGAGCTTTGCAGCATTGAGGGGGGAGTCAACATGTGTGGGCCGCTAAGACCCCAATGGTGAAGTGCCCTCACATGTCCATTAGATTCTGTTGAGTAGGTTTGATAGGTTAACTTTGAAGGTTTGATGGATGAACTTGCCGAAAGCCAAGCGGCATTTGGCTCGAGTCCTGAATTAAAAAGGCGCCTGCCCAAGAAGCAAGGGCTCGGAACCCCCCAGACCTGCTGCAGGACTACTTGCTACGGGTTCCCCGGTTTCTGGTTCTGGGGGCAGCCTTTAGCGTGATTTGGGAGGAGCCTAATCCCGCAAATTCACTTGGAACCCCACTATGTACAGTTGGGTGAAGGTTGATGGCCCAATTCCCTCATGCATGCAGTTTACTCCCAAGTCATCGTGCGAAACCATGCTCAATTGCATATATCCCTTGGCCCCATGAGTCCCAAGGCATTTGTGCCCAGTATAAGCCGTATGTCGAACCAATTTTCCCAAAAAAACGCCGAGGATCCGCGCCTTGTTGTCGCTGGGGCTGGATGCCAACAGTGCCACCTTCGACGGCACCACCGTGTGCTCCTTTGCCACTCGAGCGAATCGAAACCGCGAGGGGTAGGTGATGTTGACCCATGTCGACCCTTGCGTCTTAGAAGAAGAACCTGTCCTATGAATTGGCTGTTCCGTGACGAATCCGGATCAATCAGGGGGGTATGTTTCCCCAACATAGAAACGCAGGAATTTCTTTTGGAAGCTTGCCACATACCAGTTCTAGGCACTGGAATCCAAGGATTTCCCTTTGGCATGTCAATTTGTTGCTCTTTCTTGGGCTACTGTATGCAAGCAAGGCCAGGAGCCCCGAGCACGTTGATGAGCTGTTGGAGAAGAAGGCGGATTTCCACAAAGCGGGGGTGCCCGTGGGCCTTGTGCCCCTGGTGAAGGTGGGAACGGGTTGGATTGGAGGGAACTGGGGAGGGATGGGGAGGGGCATGATGAAAGGTGAAGGGGGAGGTGTGGAAAGACCTGGGCGGGAATCTCCGTCGTGCTTTCAGCGGTATGTTGCCTTGCTGCACTGCGAACATAACTTGTGAGACTTGGTCACGCTTGCGTGTGAAAGGTGTCCTTGCGGATTGGGTCAACAAAGCCATTTTGGCTAGGCCATGTGCTCACTTCTTGATCCTATGGTCCAACTGGCAAAACTTGGCATCACACTGTCACGTTCATGTTTATGCGTTGAGGTTGAAATCCAAGCAAAAAAAGAGCCTTACAATACTCAGAAACTATTTGGTCGTAGCCGGGCAAGTGCGGCCAGGGGCGTTTTGAAATGCCAAAACCGTTCACAGGATGGGCAACCCGAGCCTCAAACACTTTAGGGTCGAAATGTAATTTGGCGTTTGTTTCTTTATTGATTTTTTTTGTCTTGGCTAGACAAATGATGTACTTTACAGCATTCTCTCACGAGATGTACGTATTTTACACTAGCCCGTCAACATCATCACCCTCGTTTCAACATCCCCGCATGTTCAGCCCCAGCATCACTAGCAAATCGAGGGCCTTGGCTTCCTACATCCTCAGCATCATCAGTTCCTCTCCGGCAAGTAGGTAGGTATTTATGTATGCATGTTAAAATGCACCGGGGGGGTTTCAAATAGGGGCGCGATTCAATCTCTGTAAAACACCCAAAAAGTAGCGGGGGAGCGGCGGCCCCCCCTCCTTGATGTTCGGTAAAAGCCAAAGGCAGGATAGCCACCAAAAGCCGCAAAGCCAAAAAGCCACCTGCCAGAGAGGAACTAGTATGCAGAGGATGCGAAAAGCCAAAGCCGCAAAAGCCGCATAAACCCAATAGAAAGCCGCAAAAGCCAAAAAGACACCTGCCAGAGAGAAATTGTGAATGCAGAGGATGCGAAATGAAAAGCCACCAAAAGCCACATAAACCCACGAAAAGCCACAAAAGCAAAAAAGCCGAGAAGCCACCCACCCATAAACACAAAAACACAAGTTAAATTCAACTTTAGCTGCAAACATGGGTTGTTTGGAGCCATCACCCTTGTGCGCGCTTTTGGCCTTAAGGATTCGAGAGGAGCGCCGCGCTTGAAAGGCTCGAGGGTCGTCACTTCTTCAATGAAGTTGGCGACTACCCTCAATGCATACAGCATTCAAAAGGAATCCAGCATAGCGGACAGGCGGGCAATGCGTTCTATACAGAATGAGGACCCGAAGCAGCGCTGGCAGCCTTCACCCAAAGTTGGAAGTAGACGTTGCTGCCATGCCAGGCGTGTCATGTGAAGAACATGACCACACCCCAGCAGCGTACACGCCAGAACTTGTAAGGTGCTAGATCGCAAAGAATTGGCAGCAGCAAGAGGGTGCAAGAACAAGCCGTTGAAAAGGAAGCACATCCCCTCTCCATTTGACGTGGTCCTTGTTCCCCACCATGAACTCATGGATCGGAAGGCTGATGACCATTCAGTCAATCAAGCGCTTTGAAATGCTTTGAAAGTCCACAGCTTGGTCAGCCAGAAAGTGGCTACACGGGGTCCAACGGTCTAGAAAGGTCATGAAACTAGCAGAAGCAGAACATCCCGATGTGCTTCAGTTATCGTACTGCTTCGCTAAGGAGAAGACCTTTATTGACCTTGCGTGTGGGGGGCATTGCGCTTTCCGGTCCTAAGCATGAAGCGCTAAAGCTTTGGCAACGGCAATCGAAAAAAAACACCTTGAGCCTAACCCACCGACACTTTGGACAAGATCTTGGGTCGAAAGCACCGATTTGTTAACTTCCTCTCGGAATGCTTGTGACCTTATGTCCAACTAAGTGGTCGGCGCCTGGAAGAGGCAGCCACGCCTAATGCCCGTGGAATGTTGATGAAACTTCTGGTGACTTGCAAGACCAGATTTGAATAGGCCAACAAATGATATGACTAAAAAAATACTTGCTGGAGCAAGGCCAAGGACAGAAGTTGTTCAGGAAGATCTAGTCGTGCATCTTTACACTAATGCTGGTCACGCATCCGGCAAAGACCACGCTCGAAGCACTAGATGCATTTCTGGCTGTGGAGGCGACAACACCTTTTTGGCCACTTGCTTGGCAAAACAAGAAACAAAGTTCAACCTTGAGAAGCGCGCCGAAGCCGAAATCGTCAGCTTAGCACATGGGGATGTCGAGGAAGGACTTGTATTCGGTAGACCCGTTGGCTAAGTATGTCATCCAGATATTTCAGCGGTTATACAGATTGCTCAGGCCGGATTTGTCTGAAGCTCAGGCATGTGAGTAGGACCCACCGGATGAATCTTGCACCTCTTTACTAGGTGTCGCAAGGCGATGATGTCTCCCTAGTCTACATCACAACTGACCAGCAAATAGCAGACATGTCTACCTACAAGTGAGCATGTTTCCTTGATGCACTGCTCACATAACTTGGACTTGATCACGCTGGCGAGTGAAAGGTGTCATTGCGTCTTGGAGAAGCCATGTGATCATTTCGTGTGAGCTTCCTTCAATGAACGCAAGCATCAATCTTTGGCACACGATGGCAGGTGAAGCAGGGATGAGGTTGAGATACCGTCACCTCACCTTCTGCCGATCGCATTCGGCTGTTGCATTTGGCACAACATCGTTTGGCACAAAAAGGGTCGGTCGCTTGCAGTAATAGACTTGGCTTGAGTTTGAGGCGCTTTTATGTATTCATGCAATTTGCAAATAATGTTTGGCTTGCTTATCTTGAATTGGTTGGGGCTCTCGATTTCCCCACTGCACACGTTTGATCGACATTTTGAATACGTCCACGGCCGGACTAGCAAAATGGGAGCCCCCTCCAAAGAAAGACTCATCCCTGTAAATCCCCTTGATTGGTGGTTTGAACACCACCTTGGCGGGATGTAGCCACCTTTTCTTCACCCTCCAAACACTTGGTTTCCCAACATTTCTCTCAAAACGCCGAGCCACCCTTACATTTACATGGTCTCAGGTGGCGGACACGGGAAACCTGGAGACCGTGTCCAAGCTTTTGGCGCTGCGCTGCGACCCCAACCCCCCGATGGACGGCCTGGGCGTCACCCCGCTGTTGTCCGCCGTGGCCTTGAGCCGAGGCAACCCCGACGGCGTGGAGATTGTGCGGACCTTGTTGAGACTTGGCGCCATCTTTGCGCAGATTTTGTGGTTGTTGATATATATACATATAGATACATATTTTGTTTTTGACGTTTGGGGAGTGGCTGCTTTATTGAGACTTGTGCATTTTGTTGCCTTCTGGTTTTTGCAGACTTGGGCTCGGCTTTCTGGAATCTTGCCTGGTTTTATGTTGACATGTTGACTTCAAGAAATATATTCTTTATCGAGGCCAGGGCTTGCTAGTTGCAGATCTTGTTTCAGACCTTGACGCGGGCTTCAAAACCTGCAGGTGTTTTCTTGATAATCCTGCAGGTTATGAGGATTTGTAAGCCTTTGGCTGCAAGTGCTTCTTAGCTTATGATTCAAGGAGCTTATTCTTTATCGTCGCCTTGGTGGCTTCCTTCTTCTGATCTTTACGATTTGCAGGCGTTTTGCTCCAGGGTCAAAGTAGATAACCCACTTGGATAAGTCAAGTGGGAGACTAAACCAAACTGGAGGAATCGCGCCATCTTTCATCCAGCCGCATTTTCGCAGAAATTGTGAATCCGGTTTGGCTGGTGCTTCACCCCTTTGAATGTAACTCCGCATATCTGGCTGTTTTAGCTCCCCATTCGGCCCCACAGCCCCTTGCGTCGCATGGCTTCAATCAATCTGGCCGTCGTCAGGAAGTCCCGGGCCGATCCCAACGTGGCATCCAGACAGACGGGGATGTGGCTGACCATGGTTGGTGTTGGCAGGGCCAAGGTGGGCAGCTCAAATCAGGTTTTGGGATAAAGGGGCTGAACAGTTAGCCATTTTTTGAAGGGAGTTCCCAACATTTATGCTGGTTTCCCTGTTGGCTCTCCTGTAAAGCAAAAAAGCACCCCCCCAAAAAAACACCTGCTTTTTGGAACAATCATGGAAGTTCGTTCCGCATGCTTCCCCAAAAGGAAGGTCGTCTTCCATGCGGCATTTTACCTAAGGTTTCTTCCTTGTAGTCAGGTGGCTTTCGGGCCAATCGTCCTGTACTTGCGGATAGTTCTTGAGGGTTGCTGTAAAGAGAGAGCCAACAGGAGAACCAACATCCTCTTTTGGGGCCTGTGTTGGGAGATGCCCATTTTGTTTTCTCCCACCTTCCCACCTTTTGTTCAGAGAGACCTAATCCAAACATGCCGCTCCAAACCTCATTCTCAGTGCCAAGTTTTCAGCGCTGGCTGAAAGGAGGAAGAAAGGAAATCCTTGAGACTCCGAACGCCTATTTAAGACCTCCTTGAGCTTCCAGGTGGCCCTCTTGGGCCGTGAGTTCTGCTCTCCCCAGACGCGTTCCGTGGCGACGCTGCCTGGGGCCACGCCGTTGCTGACCGCGGCTGCCATCGGCATCGAAGAAGTGGTGGAGCTGCTGCGTCTTGTCTGGGGTACCCGTCTGAAGGGAGTCTAACCCCAGCGGTGGAAGGGGGTTCCCTTTTACTCAACCCCTTCTTTCTCCGTGGCCACTGGGGGTCTAAAGAATTACAGACGGGCTTGGGGGTACCATTAGACATGGTTAAGCCATGACCATAGGAAACTGTGATTCGTCACTATTTCGCGCTCTTGTGTCACCTTCAAGGGCTGTTTCCAGGGTGCCCGTTTTCGAGACACGTGTTCCCTCTCTCCGCTTTATTGGAAAGTATCCCGAGGCTGAGCTACGGGGCGACTCCTCAAGCCAATGATCGGGGGGAAACCTGTGAGTTCCTGGCAGCAGCTAACGGGCACTACAATGTGCTGCCCTGCTTCCAGACGGTCTCAGTTTGAGCCAGTCCTCAGCTTCCCGCTCGGTGTTGTGGGTTGGTGAGATGTGACCTAGCCTCTTGTAGAGGGAAGCCACTCTGTAGAATTTTCTGGGTTGGAACAGCTTGGGTGCATCGCAGAATTTCCTGTTGCGGTAGCCCCTCTTTGGGTTACATGATAATTTGCAGGTCGCATACAACCTTCTACACTTCTGATTTTCGTTCGGCGTCCGACTGCGTCCGCGAACGCGGCCGTTCTCTGGATGCTGCCCTTCTCGCGGAACAGCTGCCGATCTGGAGCAGCTCGACTCCTGATTTCCTGGACTCCTGGACTTCAGACTTTGTGAGAAGGACTTTTCAGAAGCTCTATTTTGGTGGTAGACAAAGATAGGATGTGCGGACTTTTGGCTGTGCCGTCCACACTGCGTTTTCTGCTGGCGCACCGCGGTTTGGTTTTTCTCCGTGGCCTGTGGCTTTCTGAGCGGGCTGCTCCATTCGTCCCGTGGCAAACATTGCCAGCAGCCGGGTGCCCCACGCCCTAGGTGTGGTTTCACCCGGTTGCTTTTGTAAGTGCTTGAAGGGCAGGCCATTGGCCCACGGATAGGCGGGGAACGCATGTGGTTGCCCAAGTCTGCAGACATGGATGGACCACGCAGGTTGCCTTCGTTCTGCAGGAGTTTGCGCTCCCGAGTAGGCAAAAGTGCACAAAGAGTATGGCATTCGGATTGCTAAGGTAGAGCCCATAAGTCAAGTGGTCTACATGGTAGATGAACTGAAAAATAGAAGCATGTTGCACTTCTTTGGGTGGATTGGATTCATGTGACTGCTTTGGTGTTGCCGCTGTCACATGACATTACGATGGTCCTGCATCCTGTGGAGTCGTGCATCGAAAGATGTGTGTGTGTGTGTGTGTCTGTGTGTCTGTGTGTCTGTGTGTCTGTGTGTCTGTGTGTCTGTGTGTCTGTGTGTCTGTGTGTCTGTGTGTCTGTGTGTCTGTGTGTCTGTGTGTCTGTGTGTCTGTGTGTCTGTGTGTCTGTGTGTCTGTGTGTCTGTGTGTCTGTGTGTCTGTGTGTCTGTGTGTCTGTGTGTCTGTGTGTCTGTGTGTCTGTGTGTCTGTGTGTCTGTGTGTCTGTGTGTCTGTGTGTCTGTGTGTCTGTGTGTCTGTGTGTCTGTGTGTCTGTGTGTCTGTGTGTCTGTGTGTCTGTGTGTCTGTGTGTCTGTGTGTCTGTGTGTCTGTGTGTCTGTGTGTCTGTGTGTCTGTGTGTCTGTGTGTCCTGTGTGTCCGTGTGTCCGTGTGTCCGTGTGTCCGTGTGTCCGTGTGTCCGTGTGTCCGTGTGTCCGTGTGTCCGTGTGTCCGTGTGTCCGTGTGTCCGTGTGTCCGTGTGTCCGTGTGTCCGTGTGTCCGTGTGTCCGTGTGTCCGTGTGTCCGTGTGTCCGTGTGTCCCGTGTGTCCCGTGTGTCCGTGTGTCCGTGTGTCCGTGTGTCCGTGTGTCCGTGTGTCCGTGTGTCCGTGTGTCCGTGTGTCCGTGTGTCCGTGTGTCCGTGTGTCCGTGTGTCCGTGTGTCCGTGTGTCCGTGTGTCCGTGTGTCCGTGTGTCCGTGTGTCCGTGTGTCCGTGTGTCCGTGTGTCCGTGTGTCCGTGTGTCCGTGTGTCCGTGTGTCCGTGTGTCCGTGTGTCCGTGTGTCCGTGTGTCCGTGTGTCCGTGTGTCCGTGTGTCCGTGTGTCCGTGTGTCCGTGTGTCCGTGTGTCCGTGTGTCCGTGTGTCCGTGTGTCCGTGTGTCCGTGTGTCCGTGTGTCCGTGTGTCCGTGTGTCCGTGTGTCCGTGTGTCCGTGTGTCCGTGTGTCCGTGTGTCCGTGTGTCCGTGTGTCCGTGTGTGTGTCCGTGTGTCCGTGTGTCCGTGTGTCCTGTGTGTCCGTGTGTCCGTGTGTGTCTGTGTGTCTGTGTGTCTGTGTGTCTGTGTGTCTGTGTGTCTGTGTGTCTGTGTGTCTGTGTGTCTGTGTGTCTGTGTGTCTGTGTGTCTGTGTGTCTGTGTGTCTGTGTGTCTGTGTGTCTGTGTGTCTGTATGCTTTTTTGTCTGTGTGTTTGTGTGTCTTTGTGTCTGTGTGTCTGTGTGTCTGTGTGTCTGTGTGTCTGTGTGTCTGTGTGTCTGTGTCTGTGTGTCTGTGTGTCTGTGTGTCTGTGTGTCCGTGTGTCCGTGTGTCTGTGTGTCTGTGTGTCTGTGTGTCTGTGTGTCCGTGTGTCCGTGTGTCTGTGTGTCCGTGTGTCCGTGTGTCTGTGTGTCTGTGTGTCTGTGTGTCTGTCTGTGTGTCTGTCTGTGTGTCTGTCTGTGTGTCTGTCTGTGTGTCTTTGTGTCTGTGTGTCTGTGTGTCTGTGTGTCTGTGTGTCTGTGTCTGTGTGTTTGTGCCACTGCTTGTTCACTTCCCGCGACACGTTTTTCCGATGGGCATGTTCACCGTCGGCCGCCGGCTGTCTACAAACCAACCACCCACTGAGAACAACAAACGCCACCTGTAGATCTTCCTTATCGCCCGATGTATATGACCGCTCTTCTCAGCTCAAAACATCGCCAGAAGCCAAACATTTGAACCGTTGGCCCAGTTGGCCCTTTTCGTGTTCCTGCATTTTCCCCTTTCAACTTGCGCAACAGATGTTCAACCAACAAGTTCTCACTCTTGATCCGGTTTCCCTTTGTCCATGTGGCCCCCAAAAGCACGGCGCCCTTACAAGTGACTCACCAAACTGAACTTCCCCCTTTGGATGGTTAGGAAGAACCAAATTAGGTCGAACTACACTTCTCTTTGGCCAGGGGGCCCTTTTTGCCGTTTGGGTCTTCCCCCCCAAAACAACCAAAAGGGGAACAGCAGACTCCGCGCCGCTCAACTTGGCGGCGAGCGGCTCGGCGTGCGTGCCATGGCGCCGTTCAGCCGGGGCGACGGCGGCACGCGGAGCCACTCGCACCGCCTCTGCCGGCTGAAGCTGCTCACCTCGGGCGATGTCATCGAGATGCCCCTCGAGGCGAAGTCGGGGCGAAGTCGGGGCGAAGTCGGGGCGAAGTCGGGGCGAAGTCGGGGCGAAGTCGGGTCTGGGTCTGGGATATTCCGTTGCGAACAAAGCGAAGCGACCTTTTTGCAGCAAACCAACCAGAGTGATTAATTGAGCGATTGGTTTGGACGGGATTTCGATTGCAACTCTGCGTCAAAGCTTGGGATCCCACATCTTTGCCCTTCAAATCATGAACAAAGACATGAACTTTTTAAAAATTTACGGGAGTCGTGGGAACTGTGTGCAAGTTGGAAGGCACCTTGAACTTCCACGCGGCCAAAGGAATGAGGGTTCCCCCAAATGCTCCGCAAGGCGACCTATGTCATGGATGTAAAATCGCATGCACCCAAGCTTTTACTTTGAGGGTACTTTAGTTGTGTGGTAATGTTGGCCCAGGATTAATGAACCTGTCCCATTCTTAGGGAGGGTGTTCCCTCCAAAAGTGATGAACCCCCACTAAAAGGGGATCCGCCCTATTAATCAATCATGGGTTTATTAATCCGCGGTTAACATTAGTGGGCATCCTCTTCGATTGAAGCTGACTCGAGGTCACCACCAAGGTGGGCCATGTGCGGCAGATGCTGGCAGAAAAGCTGGGCAATGCTGCCGCAGAGGAGATGTGAGTATGTGTCGATTCCCTGTACCCCAGGGTGAAGGTAGATGGCACAATTCCATTTAGGGCAAGTGAAGGGTATTGCTAAGCCAACATAGGGGCAATGAGCCGTTTACTTTACCCAACTGTAAGTCAACCTGAAACGATGCCCTCAAAGAAAGTGCACACCCATGTTCGGTGCTTCATCAACGGGATGTTCTAATGGGGCCGCGCTTGCCCAGCTGCCCGCCTCACTTTCCCGTTTTCTGGACGTGGTGTTGGGGGAGCTCTGTTCGGAGTTCTTCCCGGTTTCGATGAAATATGCCATGTTCCCCTGGTTTCGATCTGGCAGACATGGCCTTTTTTGAGGCATTTGCCACAGGTTGGGGCTGAATAAGAAACTTCCCCAAGGAGTTCGGGATGTTCAGTGGCGAGCAAAAGTCTGGACTTTCTTGGACCAATTCGCTCAGAAATGAGCAGATAGTGCATGGTCGCCAATTTGCCCCAGAGAAAAGTAAAGCGGATGGAATCGAATATCAGCCTACACGTGGAATCAGCCCTGCCTAGAAAGTGCTTGAATCATTGAATCGCTTGTGATTCACTGAGCATATGCGAGATTGAAAGCAGCGAGCGACTGCAACTCCTTTGCTCGAGGGGCATAACGTTTCCCACTCATTGCAGTTCCCTGTGATAGGAGCCACCACAGGTAGGAAGGGGCACTTGTTGCAAAACAAAACTTGTTCCCATGTGAATCCCACCTTGCGCAGGTTTGCCGATGTTTGCCGAAGACTCGCGCAGGAGCTAATCTTCATTACCAAGTCCGCATCCAGCTACAAAGTTCTACTGGATTTGGAGGAGATCCCCTCAAACATCACTGCCGCTTATAAAGAAAGAGAGGGGTTGCACTTGCCTGCGTTCCCCAAGAGAGACATTGACGTAGCATGTTCCATTGAAGAATGCCAACGAGCAGAGAGAGGATGACTGCGCAAGCCATCTCCAGAATTGTTCAGGTACGTGTTCTGGGTCTATGTTTCTACACCACTTGCGATGGCACCGCCTCAGCAGCCGACATTGGCATGTCATCTACTTCAAGACCTTACTAGCTCGCATGTGCTGGTTTCTTGGGCGGATGGTCTGGACAGGTTCTCGAGGGAATGATTACCCATGTTCGGAGGTTTGATCGAAGGCACACACAGTCTTTTACAATCACAGGCACAGGCTGCAGACTACCCGGTTGATCATGGCCGGTTGACCGTGGCCTGCCTGGGATCCATCGGTTTGTTCAGGATAGTACTCAAAGAGCCTGAGCTACGTGGCTGCGAAGTGAGAATTCTACGGTTTGGTTTGGACAAGCAGTCAAGGGCAGAGTTAAACTGTGACTCTTTGGAGCATTTGGAACAAAGGACGAAACACAGACCTTTGATCTTACCATCTTGCTAACGTAACATGTAGCAATAGGCTGCATCCTTAGCCTTTAATTACGTGCCTCATCTTCATAGTGAATAGCGCCCCCACCCTTCAAGCGAATTAAGCTAAAGTGGAGTCACCACTTGTACAGTTTTGGTTTGCAATGTTTTGTACATTTGTCCAAAGGTCCCTGCACACCTATCCCGACATGGGGGTGTGTTTTTGAGGGTGCCCTTTCAACTTGGCTTAAATGAACACCGCAATCAAAACCGAACTCCATCTTTGGACTTCAACTATATTGACACATACCCATATATGGGCTTGCCTCTTTTTTTGAGGGACCCATCAAAATTGTCGCAAAAATGATGGGTTTCTCAGCCGGTTTCCCTTTGGCAAGCCAAGAAACGGGTACCCTCCCGTCCACCAACGTGGCAACTGACAGGGGGTCCCTTCAAAAGGAAATTAATCTTCCAGGTGCCTCCCCACAGGTGCCATGTTAGCTGGAGGAAGGGTAACCTCAAACAAAAGACAGAGGTCCGAGATTTTCGGAATGCCACGTTCAACGCCCAGGTGAAGGGAGTGCCCAGCTGGACTCGGCAGAAGGCGGCGTACCGCTTTCCGCACTGCATCGTGGGGGCCGGCCACTGCGGGCTGCGTCAGGGCCTGTCCTTCCTGAAGGAGTCCCTGGTTGTTTTCCCCAAGCTATGGATTTGATCCCAGAAAATCTTCGAGTCCTTCCTGAAGGAGTTGTTTTTTGTTTTTTCCCAAGAAAGCTATGGATTTGGTCGATCCCAGAAATCGGCGACAAGGGGTGCTTTGGGGGGAGGTTCGGTTTCAGGGAATTCTGGGGTTCTTGGGGATACCGCTTGGCATTGTTTTGTCTAGTTTGTTTTTTGTCTTTTTAACGCATATTTAGGTGTTTATGCTATTTCTTCTTTTGTTCTGTGAGTGTATTCGTTTATTTACTTATTTATTTAGTTATTCATTTATTTATTTATTATTTTTCCTTTGGGGGGGGTACAAGATTACAAGAACCCTGGCTTCAACCCTAAGTCGAACTGGAATTTCGGGTGGTGGTGAAATAGATTACTTGATTTGGTGGGTCTTGGTGGTTTCAGGGCCAACTTTCAGTGTTTCCTCTATTTTTAACCTCACCTGTCGGTGCCGACCTTTTGGCCCTTTTTGCTGAGGGAGGGTTGCGCTTTCCGTCCCACAAGCGGGGCAACCCAACTAGCAGAACAATTCTGGAGCCTCGTTTTCCGACAAGTCCTCACCTACAAGGCCCCCCTTTCACCAAGGGAAACCCTGGGAAACGTAGAGAGATGTTCTAAGGAAAAGTCCTGACCTCAGGGGGCTTGGGTCGCCTGGAAACCGCATGCTGACACAAGCCCTGTTTCACGCATCCCGCTGGTTGTTTGGATTTGGGTTTGAACCCCTTGAGGGCAAATGATTAAATGGGGAAATCCGCATCTGCAGACCACCGAAACACCAAGGGAAAGAATTTGGGAGATGAACCTAGGGATCCCTCAAAGGAAAGCATAAAGGATGGTTAGCAGGGTTGATTCCCTCGTTCCTTAGAGCCAGCAAGTCATGTTGATATAAACTGTGCCTGAACCCCTGGTTGTAAGGCTAAATGGGGGAAGCATCATGCTACGGAAACCAAGCGCAAACCAACCACTCTGTGTGGCCCTCGGCCGAAAGTTCCCCTGGAGGAGGGCATCCACGACTTTCTGGTCATAGACCGCCTACAGCAGTTGGGTGGCACAGCCTGGGTGCGGAACGCCAACCCCACCTCCAAGCTGCAGACGGAGCTGGGGGTCTACCACCTGCAGTGGCCAGCTGCGAATGCCCACCAGTTGGGATGGATGAAACCTTCGTTCATCTTCGTTCAAGCTGGGATGGATGGATTCATCCACAGTGCCATCCCGTTTTCCTTAACACTTCAGGTCAGCTTCCCTCTAATTAGTTTGGATTGGCTTGGGGTCAAGCAACCAGGTGGTTCCATAAGGGAAGGCAAAAGCAGGTTGTTTCAGCAGTAGTGGCTTAAACATATCTAAACAAAGCGTTTGCCCGACCCTGGTGCCCCTTTTTTTTGCAGCAAAAGCAATACCACCCCTTCGAACATGGAGCCGTTGCCTGTCCTTCTGCCAAAACGAAGTGCTCAGCCCCCACGTTTTGTTTTGCATTGCCAAATGTTTTGACAAAACAAACCTCGTAACGATGCTTGTATCTCGGTTTTCTGTTTTGCCGGATGTTGTTGCTTGTTTCCCTTGCACATGTTTGCTCCTTTCACTAAGCCGTGTGTATGCCGGTGTGAGTGCGCCTTGTTATAGAACAGACGCAAATTATACACATTTGTTTGGGGGCTAGGGGGAGGTGTCCTTCTTTTCAAAGCCAGGGTTTCCGGAGAACGAAGCGACCCCAGTTTGTGTGTGAGCGCGTGCGTGCGCGTGGGGAATTGCAACTCAAAAGTCAAATTGTGGAACTGGTTGGGGTCTCTCACGCATTTAGCTTAGATGTGCGGATGCAGAAAGTAAGAGATGCACAATCATGTCATTCCATCATGTCTCACCACCCAAAATAGATTGACAAGCGAGACAAGCACCTGCGAGGAACATGTGAGCAATTGACAAGTGTGTATTGGATGACTGAGGCTGTGATGAATTAATGTCACTTCTCATTTGTCTCTCACACATCATGGTGTTTATCTCTTCTTTTTTTTGTTCTGTGTGCATATGTGTGAAATGAGACACGCACACCCAGGTATTGTTCCAACAATGTTATGATAGGCTAAGGTAATAACAATATCAACTAGAGGTTAAGGACTGACATGGATGCATAAAACATAGGGCTGTCGTCCAATATGTTATTTCTGTTTACCTTGTTTTGTTCATGTTTGTTTTTTAGATTCATTTGTTTTACCCCACGTGCGGTTCGGCCAAGATTTCCAGCAGCCTACGGTTTATGTGGAAGGGACATGGGGGTACTCAGGCCACAATATTCCCATGCCCTCTTGGGGAAACAAGAAGCTTGGAAAGTGGCTCGCGTGCTCTTTGTCGTGGGGGTTTGGGGGGGTTGGGGGCGGGTGTTTCCCGGTAAAGGTACGGCATTGACTTGCCCCTGCCGCAGGCTGGGTCAACTCAGCACAGCGGTCCAGTTGGATTGTGGCCCGAATGGTCCCGGCTTGTTGGAAGCAAGTTTCTGTTCCGCAAAACCTAATTACAAAAGCTTATGTTAGCCCTTTTTCTCAGAGGGAAGAGCAATTCAGGATTGGTGGCGTGGATTTGGATGGAACCCCCCTTCTTCAATTCGGGAAGGTACCTAGCCAATGCACACCACCACCAGCAGATAGGACCCGGTTGACGGGGACTAGCAAACGTCATGGACATCCAGGGGAGGGCGGGCTAATGCCTGAACAAAAGTACGCGCCATGAGCGGCTTATCCTTCCCCCATCCTATCCCTTCCCTTATAGGGATAGCCCGCGCCATGTAGCCCCCTGGGTCCGTTTTCCACGTTCACACACATGCCTTCAACCCAAAGTCCAAGCTAAAACGGGGAGGATCTTGCCGGGGTCTATTTTTATGGAGGTTTCCTCAGATCAGTACTTACAGGGGCAAGGTATGGTTATAAGTCTCCTAAGTGGGTTAGAACCATGGTCAGCGTACATTCGCTTTGGTTTCGGATCCAATTGTTCTACCAACCGGTCGGTCTTTGGAGCACTTCGTAGGCCAGGAACTGTCGTCCCGAGTCAGTGCTTCACAATAGATGGCCCAGTTGGTTTTGGTTCCACTCAGGCAGCCTAGTACCAAGGCCACCTCAGAGGCGATCATGGTCCATCTCTCTCGCCGGAAAATGTGCAAAAGAGAGTCCACAGTTGAGCAGACAATATTACCAGGGCAGCAGGGTTGGGTCCACGTCCTATTGGTGTTGCACCCTAAAAGGGAGTTGCAGAGCCCAGACCGGATGCTGATGCAAAGACCGAAGCGGCTGATAACTCGAGGGGCTTCGGCAGCTGAAAGCCAGCAGTGCATCTGCCAGGGTGGAATGGCAGAGGTTTGGGGAACTGCTGGGCAAAATGTCAAGACGCCAGTGTCAAACCAAAAGCCATGGGCGACCATAGGTTCCAAACAAAGGCTCCTTTCGGCCGCGAAAAGCACATGGGGTTATCAAAGTTAGCGGCCCATTTTGGTATCCCTTTCGCGCTGGCGGCATGTACCGGCGGCACCGAAACGGGTTCCTTACGGAAAAGCAGTTCTTTTTGACAACCCACCACCCACCCAGCCACAAACACACACAAGCCCACACACACCCTTCACACGTTAAGAGAAACCACGTCGTCTTTTGGTGCTTTCGTTTTGGGAAACCCGTTCGCTCGGGTTTCCTTCGCTTTGCAGGGATCCGCTCAGATCGCAACGAAACAACCCGCGCGCAGGGTCATAGGTGTCCTTTTTCGTAGCTTTGCTTGCAAATTGGAAGGCCCTGATTTACCTGGTGGTTCAATCATTCACCAGGGCCATCTATTTTCCAAAAAGGACACCTCGCAGGGAATGAAGACCTGGCCCTCGCGCGCCGAGCTGCTGCAGCACTTCCAGGAGGTCTGCGAGGAGCCCTCGGCGGGCGACCCCTTTTCGCTTGGCGGGGTTCGGAGGGACACCGCGGGGCGAGCGGCGGGGCCTCAGTAAGCAAACATGTGATTTTTTGGCAGAGGAAAGGACGTTTTGATCCTTCGTGTTTTGTTTTTGCTTTTTGTTTTCTTTTCTTTGGGGGGGGGTGATCTTTGAAGGTGTGGGTCTTGTTGGTGATCTGTTTTTGGGGGGGGCTCCGTGTCAACTATGCAGAGAAGTTGTGCTTAGTCTTTGGCTTCGCCTGCCTTGGGATTCTGTGTGCAGGTTCACGCACAAAACAGCTAACGCTTGTTGTTTTTGTTTAGGCAGGGGTTCTGTATTGGGTACCCTTTTGTATCCTTTTGTCATTTCAATTGTTGTTGAGTATTTGGGGTGGCCATGTACTACCCAAGGAAATCGGCAGTTTGGCGGATGGTGTTGTTTCCGGACCAAAAGAACTCCGAGAAAAAAAACAACAACCTTTTTTCCGGTTTAAGTCCCAGATTTGTTTTTGAGCAAAGAAAGCTTTCTTGTATCAGGTACCCCTTTTCATTTTGGGGGCAGACGATAACTGTGGAAAAGCTTTATTGCAAAAAGGTGGCCTGTGATACAGGTGCCGACCTGCACTTGTCAGCCAAAGGGAAGCCGCCGGCGTTTGAAGAAGATGGTTCGCACCACGTGGGGTTTGAAAGGGAAACCTCAAGAAAGAAAGAACCATTTGGCCCCCCCCCCCCCCCCCGTATTTTGGAGCTTTTAGGACCTTCACAGACTGCGATGGTCCTGGGACCGCGCCACCGGCCCCCTCAAATTCCAATTTCGAAATTGTTGTGTGGAAGACTGGATGTGACGCAACATTTGAACATATTCTTTGTTGTCCCCCGTCGGGCCAAGCCTGCCCCCAACGAAGCCGGGGTTTGGGGACGCCTCCGAAGGACCATGGCCTGATTCCGCACTTGCGCTTGGGCACTGAAGCCGATCGGCAGGTTCGTTGGTGCGATTCGTTCCCGCGGTTCGTTTTCGCGGCCTGGGCCGGGCAAAGGCGCAGGGCTGGACACAATTTGATGAGAGCCCCCATATGTGCCATGGCCAAAAGACCAAAGAGGAGATGGTCGGCCATCAACTCCCTGGGCAAGGATTTGGACAACCATCCAAGGGCCCCCATTGAAGGAACAAAGGGATGACCATCATGGCCATACAGAATGGGTTTAGGCCATTGCGCACATCAGGTCATCGAGGTGCAGCCACAAGAGCTGGACATCCGAGCCCGGGAGTTTTCGGGCGGACGCTGGGCATATGACCTGACCTTGTGCAAGCAGGACGCGGGCACGTCACCGGGCAGAGTGAAAGGAGCGCAGCCATGAGGATGAAGGTTCCCTTCCACGTTCCTTATTTCAATTTGGTGATCTTGGACAGGGACCCGGCCTATCCCAAGTAAACCGTTTATTTGCAGGTTGTGCAAAGAGGTGGCTGAAAATGGACTGATTTCCCGTTCATTTAGAAAGGGCATCCTCCATAGTTGCTGATTCGGCATTGTTTGAAGAATTCCCTGTAAACAGTGCAGAAGACTTGCGTCGTGCCTTGATGAGGTTAGTTAGTCGTGTGACAAATCCCCTGAATTTGCTAGCTGATTCGAGTTTGACACCCCCCCCTTGAAGCAAGCTTAGTTGTGGGTCCATTCTTTTTCTGGAGCCCTGCAGGAGCAGTCCACACAGATGAGGCCGGCACAGCAACCCAAGGTTTCTTTGTATGGCCGTGGGTCAAAACCAATGGGATCCCATTTTCGGGTTTTCGCTGCACCCATTTTAGAATCTATTTGGGGATTGGGATGTTCACTGACCGTACGGGATTTTGACGTGTTCGTGGTTTGTGTCCAAAATTGTTTCAGAGCCGTCGCAAGGGGAGCCACGGGAGTGACCTCTATCGGTCCTTCGCTCGCCACTGTCAGGCAATTGCTTCCCTTGCGGGTTCTGATTCATACATCACCCCACCAAAAGGAAACGCGTATCGCGCATATCTCTCGGCCCAAACAAATTGATTTTTCAACGCCCGGTTTGTTCAGCTTTTGATTCATCCCCGCGCGGCTTTTTGACGGGGGACCCGGAGAGGTGCGCGAGCATCCAGTGCTACCCGGGGGGCCTCACAGAGAACCTCCGCTTGGAGTTGCCCGGGGAGGAAGAGTTCGAAGGCGAGGAAAGAAGAAGCAAATCCAAGCTGCTGATGGTCGCGAAATCCGCTTCTCGCACCACGAACTGAAACCATGGTTGAAACCATCCGTGGGTATTTACAGGGGAATCGAATCATTCTAGGGATTCTTGGGTGGTGCAGGATTTCGTCCATCCACAGTAGGTCTCCCAGTAGTGCCCTTCTCTCACAACTTTTTTGGTTGTGAGGGTTCCCCTGCCAAAATAGACTACAGAAAAAAGTTGGTACCCTTATTCTAGCCTCTCTACTGGAGGACCTAGCAAGTCTCGCTGCCCCAGGAGATTCTGCGGGTGTTTGACCAATGTCCGGGAGAGTTTTCTAAATTTCCTGGGTTTGTGGAAGCAAAGTTTGGTGGCAGATCAGGAGTTCAGACATGTTTTGGTCAATCATTGTCAATCCAAAGTGATGAAAAGGAGCTCGGACATGCAGTACTATGCTTACGATGCACATCGTTTCAAGCTTTGGCTCTAAGAAAAGCTGACATCCAACATTTTTGAGGCAGACCAATATCAGAAAGGAGGTGGCCAAACCGGATGCCACCAGACTTCTTCAACATAGCTTCTCAAGAAAACAGGGCTCCTTCCAATACTCAACTTCTTTTGCAAGTTCTTCATTGCAAATTGCCCACTCCAAGCATCACCTGCTTCACCCAGGCCAACTCAGGCCAACTGTTGACAAGGGGGGGGGTCCAAGTTAAATTCATGCTGTGCCCTGACTACCTGGTATATCAAGAATGCTCGAGACACGAGGCTGCATCGGCTACGGGATGTTCGACGAGTTCGACTACGGCCTGGTTCGAGAGAAGCAGGTGGTCATCTTTGGCATGGGCGCCTTTGCGGTGGAGAACGTGCGGACCTGATCTTCGGCCATGCAAATCTGGGCTTGGGGTTGATTGCGAAAGAGGGTGGTGCCACTTTGAGTTTTAAGTTGGAGTAAAGTTTTTAGTCGAGTTTTTGCGCCCTTCTGAAAAGTCCGCCCTTAACATGGAGCTAAACAAAGGGCCCCCCAGACGAGGAGATTCGGTGGTGTTTCGTTTTCCCTGCTGCTTGGGGGAGTATGTTACATCTTACGGTTCACTAAATACTGGGCCGAAATCAACCCACATGTTGGGGACAACTGCTGGGGCCTGAGGCCGCGTTGATCTTTTGCGTTCTCTCCACTTTTGAGGTTCCAAAAGGTCGCGTCAAACGGCCACACATGAACCAAGAGCTTGATAGGGTGAGAGTGTACGTTCACGACTTCCGACATCTCTTTCTTGTTTCTTGAAACATTTCGAGGTTCACAATGCGCCAGAATCAATCGCATCCTTTTGAAGCCGGCGTAGGCTTGCACCTAGGTCTTGAACACGGGGCCGCCACGGCGACCATCATCTGCCGGCGGAAGAACCTCGCTATCCCCAGGGTCGTGGATTGGTTCATCAACCAGAGCGCCGCTCGGGAGACAAGTCTGGTGGAGGCAAAACGAGGTCACGGCAGTCGTCCTTTGCCTGGGGGTTACGATGTCAGTATGTCCTTTCTTTGGAATGATGGTAGAGTTTGTAGATTGCTTGGCTCTCCTTGATTGGACCTTGGACCCTTACCTTCTCGGAAACAAGCCTTTCTCCCCCCACTTCACGGAAACAGTTCTTTTACTTTGTTCTTGCACAGGGTTGCCCGCCAGATTGCATACATTCATTCCGTAGCCAATCGTTATCCAAGCCAGTATCTTGGTCAAGCGAGCAAGCAAACTAGCAGACAGACAGAGAGACAGACTAGCTAGCTAGCTAGCTAGCAGGATACAAACAGACAAGCAAACAAACCAACCACCCAAGACCTGGAGACTTTCAAGTAAGGCCATTGCCTTTGGTTCTGGTGAGAGAGAGCTGGTTTTCTGCAGCAGGCCGGCCAGAAACTGCGGGCTGAACAATTCCCATGTTTCCTGGGTTGGTAGGGGCACTCATGCTCTCTAGTCGGGTGAAGGTATATGGTTCCCCATTGTTCCACGTTTCTCCCCATCTTCCTACAACATGTTCATGTTCCCACATGTTTCCTTGTGTTCTCTTGGTGGCTCCCAGCCATCCCCTTAGCTTTTTAGCCTTTTAGTGTTTAGTGGTAGTTTCCATTGAAACCACTAAAAGTTAAACTTTTAGCGGGGGATCTGAGGGCAGCCCAGTTCTGTCAAGTCAACCTCCTTAGCCAAATGGAGTTGCGCCGTTGTGGGATACGTCCCAAACGTCTCCCTCAGGACTCGCCACCTACCGCTGCGATGGTACTGAATGCCATGCAGCCTATGTATGCCCTGGGAGGCGAGGCCCGCAGGCAAAAACCAGCGAGAAGCGTATGTCCTTCTTCACTTGCGCATCCAATTCTTATGGCTGTGGGTCAAAACCAATGGTGTTCTTTGATAGGCACAAGGGGAACTACTGTGGATGGACGAAATCCTGCACCAAATTGAAAATATGGGAAACCAGTGTTTGTTGGTATTTTCAGGGGATCATCGTTCTAGGGTTTCTCAGGAGGTGCAGGATGTCGTCCATCCACAGTATTTGTGGAATGTGGCGGCATACCCTGGCAGGACTGGACGATCCATGGAGCTTCTACGCGGTGATCGGTCCAGCAGATAGGTCCACGGCCGTCATTAGGCAGAAGCCGCCCGGCAGAGATCCCGCTCAGATTGACGCCCAGTGGCACCAACCAGTGCCAGGAGATCCGGAAGACAGAGCACGAGCAAGTAAATGCTAAGTTAACGGGCAAGCTATTCATTTATCGGAGGACCTGCAGGTCGAAAGGGAGAAGCAGACCATGCTCCAAGTGCTGCCAACAAAAGCTAGTGCATTAAGGGAGAAGCAGCATGCACAAAGCAAAGTCACAAGCATACTGCAATACTCCCCGTATCCATCTCCGCACTTGACCGTGAACATTGAATGTGAAGAATCCGAGCCCGAATGCCGGCACTCGCATGCCTGACCGTGGGCTCATACCCCTGCGCTTACGCCGCACATGTTCAATCATTCACCAAAAGCCTTTGGAAGGTCTCCCGCGGTAAAGCGGCTCACGGAGAGGGCCTTGGGCCCCAAGCCCCAAGGCTCGGGGCTGCCACCCCAAACCCCAAGCCCCGAAGGCCCTTGAGGCCGCGGGGAAGGTGACGTGAGGTTGGGGGTCGGGGTGGTTGGATCCTATGAACCCGCAGGCCCGAACTTAAGGCCCTTTGGCGGGATTTGTGGATGTTCAGGTACGCCTCATTCGAAGGGTTTACCTCACGTGGGTCAATCCACGTCCCATATGGGTTTGTACCCCCTAAAACAAGTGGTTTTCCTTTGGTCTCCCTTTCAAAAAACCAAACAAGAGTACCCTCATGTACCCTCAAAAGCCCTTGTACAAAAGCCGCATGCGGAGATCACAGCAAACATCGGGTGCTCAAGGCGGCTCGACCCACTTGTCCCAGAAACTTGGTGCGGGTTGTGCCTCTACCCAGGCCAGCGATTTTAAGTATTCCCATGTTGGCCTGTTTAGGGAGGGAGGTCATATATGTTCCAGGTTACATGTCCCCCCCCCCCCCGCCCCCTGTGAGGTGGTTGTGGGATATCTCCCACCTGCTGGTTGGGGCCAAGGCTTCCAAGCCAACCATTCCAATGGGGCTCTTCAAAGAACCACATGGTGTCCAACACCAGCAAAATTCACAAGATGAGGTCGCGCTTCGGCATCGGCGACTTCTACTTCCTGGCCTCCTGCCACCTGGTTGTGGGTTGGGTTGGGGGTCGTCCCTCCCCCCCCGCAGAGAGCCACTGAGAGTCATTAGGTACCCCTGAATTGATGGCTTGGATGGTTGGATTGTGTTGACCCCTGGTGGTTTGGACTGGTTTCGATGTGAACCCTGATTCTTGTGGGACAATGATCCACCCAAGCTCCAGCCGAATGTTTGAGAGTTGAACCATGGTTTCTCGTGGGCGAACGGGAAACCATTTCAGAGATCCCTGTGAATGCCGAAATAACGACCCTCTTCAAAAGGACATCCTCGAGAAAAGCTTGAAGCAATGCTTGAACCGGCCCAATTGTGGCTGAAAACCTTTTGGGCCCATTCAAAGCGAGCTTTTTCTTGGGTGAGAGAATGCGGATGCTTCCTGCTGAGGGTACCTTTTTGGTCGGAGCAAAAGCGAAACTCACCAATTCGGCGGGTTCCCCTATTTTGACACACCCCCCAATTTGAGGCTCGTTGGTTTCCATCCATTTGCGTACCCTTTGCCCGCGCCCAAGCCGATGTTGATTTGATTTCCCTGTTTGAATCCCGGAGTTTCCGCCAGGCGCAATTGGCGCAGAGCCTTCCCCGCACTTGGGAAACCATGGTTGCAACCATTGTTATTGGTCGGCATTTATAGGGGGAATCGAATCAGAATCCGTTGGGTTTCTGGACCGTGCACATTTCCGTCTTCAGATTTGGGCTCATACCGATGGATTTCTTAGGGGTACTTTGTTTGGTAAAAAATACGACATTTTCCTGGCTAAGACGGAAAACGGGAAAAAACACAATCGAAAAACACAAGAACGACACACACATCCCAGCAAAACGGACAAAAAGAAAAGAAAACGAAACAAACATCCCAACATAAATCTACGACAGTTTACTTGCCAAGACGGAACAACGGGAACAAACAACTTATTTTATTTTTTTTTTATTTTTTTTTTTTTTTAAAAAAAAAAAAAGCAAGAAAGCGAAACAAAGATCCCATAAATCCGCGGCCATTTGGTTTTTTCCCCAGGCTACGGCAAGTGCCGGACGCTGGTGGGCAGCATCAAGCGCCTGGCGGCCAGGCAGGTGGTGCTGGACAGCGCGGAGCGGGTGCCGGCGGACCACCTGCTGAAGGCCGGCGCGCTCCGATTTTTTTTTGCTCGCTGGGCGCCACGGGAAGTCTGCGGATGTGTGTTTGGGACTTGCCCGGTTTTGCCAATGGATTTTTGGAGGACTCTTTTGTTCCCTCGTTTTTTTTTAGAGGCACGATTTTAGGAAAGGTATTTCGGGGTTTGGTGGTGTTTGGAGCTACCCTAAAAACCAGTTGGTGGGTGTTTGGTCTGCGGATTTGTTTTGAGGACTTACCCTGACTTGCAATGGATTTCTGGAGAACTCCTTTGCTTCTTTTGCCTTTTTTATACAAGCGGTCTGCTTTCAGGGCGCCCTGGTAGGTTCCATGTTCATTGCAGGCGGCCAAAATGGGCTTCGGTGTTCCTGAGTGTTTTCAGTTTCTGGGGGCCATCAAAGTTGGGAGCTGGCGGCGCGCCGCTTTGAATCCATTTCTTGGGAACACTGATCATGATGGTCACACGCAAGTCAGAGCTCGTTTTTTCTTTCACGTTTCACAGATAGAACGCCTGAACACGGTTCAATGTCCATCTTGGCTTCCGGCCTTGAGTCCTGGCCATTCCCCATCCATCCTATCGCTTTCTCCGTCTGGGCGTTTGTGCCAGCTCCCTTTTTTCTGCAAGCGCTTCATGCGTGTTTCGCGTTGGGGTGGGCCACCTCCAATGGAGAACGCAAGCAGACATGCAAGGTGACCATCAAGTGTCCCCAAGAGAAGGTTCCTCTAACATGACGGTCTGCATGTGTCAGATTGTATCGTCGGATAGCGGTTAGAATAGGGAGGCAATTCACGCCAATTCAGAACAGTTTCCCCAAATTATTTCCCCCCGAACAGTGTTTTTGTTAGTTGATGTTTCTCCCTGTGGAAAACAAACTACTATGGCTGCCTGTCCGGGGATGAGAAAAAGTCGTGACCCCAAGCTCTGGCAACACTCCAATACAAATACCAAGCCAGTCTGATTCCCTGAATTCCTGGACTTTGAACTCTTTGGGAAGACTATTCTGGTGGTAAACAAAGAGGTAGGACTGTTTTTTTGGCCATGAGTAATACTATAGACCAATTCTGAACAATACTAAGCCAATCCAGTACAACTAAGCAGTACTGCTCAGAGGCTACCAGAGTAGGCCCTAAGTTTGTTTTTTTGTTCGCCTCCCTGATTTGTTCAAGCTGGGGCGCCTTACAAACCACTACCCAACGTTATTCCCCTGGGATCAAGCGCTTTGCAGGTCCTTGGCTTCACTGCGGACCCCAAGATCGAGAAGCTGTGCCGCGGATACGGAAAGGGACAGTTAGGCACAACGATGCACACCCGAAGTGGCTTCCGGCTTCACAAGCCTGCGGTGGCTACGTCCAAAGTGAGAAACATGGATTGGTGAGAAGCTTCGCAGTACCGAGTCGGGACCATATGCAACTCACATGTGTTTTTTGTTTAACAATAGTAGTATATGAGTCAATCCTTTAGGTGCTCGTCGCGTGTGTGGAGTTGGGACAAATCACATCCCTTGTTTTTCCATTTCTAAACTTCAAGCTAAACCTGTTGCCAGGTTTCTTGATCAAGCTTGTTGTTGCCAGGTTGCTTGATCATGGCCTGAAATTGCCTGAGTTCCAAAAAGCACGATCCGAGGTTTGGCCTCAAGGAGCTGGTGGGCTACTTCGGCAACGGGGACTGGCGCCAGTGGATCTACTGCGAGTTCCCGGGCATCGACGCGGGGCGCTTCGGGGGGACCTCCCTGTCCCCGGCCATCCAAAGCGCGACCGAGCTCCGGTTTCGAAGTCTGGGGTTGGGAGTATGGATTAAAAAAAACCGCCCAAGCTATAGCGGTTCCCTTCTTTGGGAGCAACATGGCAGTGTAACTAAGGACCCTCCAAGATGGTCAGCTTCCTTTCCATTTCCTCTTCCAATCATCCGCGCAAACGAGTCCCCACGTTGATCCAAAAAATGGATAGTTTTTGCACGGCTGCTTAAATGCAAATATTCACGGCCGGCGCAAGGCGGTTGGAGAAGATCTGATTTTGCATCCGGACTTGGCTCCGATCAGATGTTTTGTTTTTTTTTTTGGGGGGGGGCGAAGTTGGCCCTTGGTTTCTGTTTCAAAACAGCGACCCTTTCAATGCCCAGGACGCGGTTCATTCTGCTTGGGTCTCCCTAGCGTCGTCTTCAATTCCCGCAGCATGTTTTTTTCTTCTTCGTGTGACGCCCGCCGAGGACAGCGTGAGCTGGATCCTGCAGTACCCGGAGGACATTGAGCCGGTCTTGGAGAGCAACTTGTTGCCGCGCCAAAAGGCGAAGTCCAAGCTGCTGGCAGGCGAGCAGCGCCCAGAGAATGGAGGGGGTGACCACATGTGACCACGTTGTGTCTTTTTTTGGTAGGCTAAAAGCATCTTAAAGCCATGGGTGGTCCCTAAAAGGACACCCTGGGTTTGATTTTAAGCCTGCCGTTGGGCAAGCAATGGATCACTTGTTTGCTTGGGCTGTGTCAAACCCTGGGATTCCGACGGCCATTGCAAAGGTTTCTCAAGGGCACCACGACGACCCACAAATCCGGCGTTTAGGCAGGGTTCTTCTTATATTTCCGTTTGGGGGTGTTCTACACCGGGGTCCCTATATTTATTTTTTTGGCGGTTTTAAACATCCGCTTTTTGGTCCATGAAAGGTGAGTGTCCCTTGGTGGGGGTGATGTTCTAAGGGGCAAAATAGTTTGGGGAGCCCTGGGCCATGGCACGTGCGTTGTGTTGTTTTGAGGCTCGGCACCCTTGAATTAGCACTGAAGCCCATTTTGGGGGATCCAGTGGGGATGTCTCAAAAGGGGCCAATTCCTTTAGGTTGGTTCAGTTTTTTCCCCTTAACGTTCTTAAAAAGGGGACCCCTATCTTGACGCGTATCAAGTAATTAACCCGCAACTGGGTTGGATTGGTGGGGTTTGAACCCCTTCTTGCCGAGGGCAAATGGAACAACGCCGGGCTCCAAACCAAGCGGGAAGCTGAACATGGGACGCTTCGCTAGGCCGGCCCTGCTACGTCTTCGAGCCTCGGGCTGGAGGAGCGCAGGGTTCGTGGGCATGGTCAACGGGTTTTGGAGGTATGGAGTCGGAGGTACCTTGCAAGCTTATGATTGCTGGCATAGCTCCCATCCAAAACCCACACCTGGACACTTCCAAAACTCCAAAACGGCGAAACCACCCACTTGTTTTGGGGCAGCCTCCATGCCTTTGAAGGTAGGTTTGTTTGTTTTTTTGGGGCTCCCGGTGCCTGAAACCGCGCCCAAGTCAATCCGCCCACTGCGCTGGAGGGCAGATTCTGGGGGTGATCATCGGCTTCATCCCGGGCCTCGCGGAGAAGGCCGCGGCCTGGGGCGCCCTCAAGAGGCGCCTTCGGCCGGGGCCGGCCTTGGGCCATTTCTGGGCCGAGCAGATCTTTACTTAAAGGAGCATGGTACTTGGTAAGTGGTTAGTAGCCATGGTTCTAACCCACTTAGGAGACTTATAACCATGGCAAGTGGGTTATAACCATGGTTACTAACCACTGACCAAGTGCCCCTTTAAGTCGACGAGTCTTTTCTTAGGGGGACCCCTGGGTCGGCAGGAAGTTTGCCGGTTTAGAACCGGTCTAGTGTTGGCGAAGTCTATTTTAGTTTTGGGACGTTTTGAATGGGGGAGAGGTCTTTAGAACTCACGGCTGGTTGTTGGTGTGACCTTAGCCTGCTCGCCCTTTCAGAAGATAATGGGCTCTTACATGAAACCCGCGGAAGGCTAGACCGTTTGCTGGGGAAGAGCAACTCGGCAATATGGTGCCTTAGTCAATGGGAGTAAAGGGGATTAGAACTCCTTGCCATGGCTGGCAAGTTCTTCGTCGTGTTGATGTTCTTAGCAACCTGCGCTCAGTTAGTTGTTCGGGCAAATGTGTCAAACTGGCGACCCTTGTTGCTCACGCAAGCAAAGGTGCATTTGCTTTATCAAACCTGTGTTTCGAGGGCTTCATGTTGTCGCAGCGTTGTTGTAGCCTCCGCATCTTGTCTACCAGCAGTTCCGTCAAGTTCTATGCTGGTCTTGCGTTTTTGTTTTTTTTTTCTTTGTTTTTTTTTTGGGGGGGGGGATTGGGTACCCACTACCTGTTACCTGTCGCATGGAATCTTGAAGCTGGCTGCACAGTCCGTATACTTTTGCTTCAGCATAAATGGGAGACTCACTTATAATTAGGCCCGAAAGGTGATGGTTAAACCATCTGAAAAGGGACATGCGGGGAACCTGAACGAATCTTGATGTGTCAACCAGCAAGCCCACTAGGGAGGCCTGGGCCTGGGAATTGCGTTGCCGGAGGCAAAGGATGCACCAGCTTCATCCTTTGGAAGGCCCGGGTCCGGCGACTTTTCGTGCGAGAAGAACCGCTGGCTGGGCGGGGTTCACTGCCTTCACCTCTTTGGGATTCGGATGGGGTCGGTGGCTTCCGTATGCCATATGCTGGGGACCGCTTTTTCTTGGTCGCAGTTGCTTTTGCTAGGCCCCCTGGGTGCAAGTGGGAACAGATGATACAACGGGCAGAATCATTACCCCTAAAATCAGGACTAAAATTGGTGTTGAAATACCCCGCACCCCAGTTCTAATTGTTTGATTCATATTGCAAAAATATATGGTGTGCTGTTATTTGTTTTTACCTACCTTGGACCTTCTGTAGGCATGGCTGCTACTCGTGCAACGCGGGGTTTTAAGAGACCCTCCACTACCCCAAACCACTAGGGGATAGTGGAACCCATCTTAGAGTGGGACCTCCAAGCAAGTGCCGACGCCAGTGGGATGCGCTCCCTGGGCGTTCGGGGTTGCTAGATGCATCTACTCACGGTTAAACTTACCATTGAGAGGTGACTTTGAGAGCAACCCCTGCAACAAGGAAACAACTACATGCGCGAAAAAGGCCCCAGCCTACCACTCACGTGTGTTCCGATTTTTGTGCGTTGCTCGCTGCTTCGGCAATCAGACCCAGGGATGGATTTTCTTGGTGTCATTCCCAGACTCCCTACTTAGAACCAGCAGGTTTATCACCATGCACGAATTCCCAGCGTCTAAGAATCTAAGAACAAGCAGGTTCCCACATGGGCACGGTCTCTTGAAGTCTAGCAGGGGTAGGAACAGGCGCGGACGCCAGATGCTGCTCAAGCGAGCGGGACCTCTGGGCGCTTGCCGACAAAAGGGGGTTTGCACGAGCTCGCCCAGGAAGGTCCTTTTGGGGATTCCAGCTTCCAATTTGAGAAGCATAGCAATCCAACAGAGACATCCTGCAGCTTGAGCTTCACGGGGCATCAAGAGGGCCCGTAACACCGATCTTGGCCGACCTTGGTCAAGTAGCTTATGTGCTGGGTGGGTGACTCTGTTCTCTCTTGGGGCTGTTTCAAGGGAAACCAAAAACGGATGGCGCTTGGGGGGGGGGGGGGGAGGTTGCGAGCTTTGAAGGTGCCCTTTCTGAGGGTAGTTCCAAGGCAACCTTGTTTTTGTTGTTGTTTGTTTCTTCGAGGAGGGGCTGGGCGAGTGGTCCGATTTTGAGAGACGCCCAAGTCCGTGGTGCATTGCCCTTGGCACTTGGGCCAGCCAGGCTATTTGGAGGAGTGCGCTCAGGAATGGTACACGTACTGCCAGATGTTCAAGGACTCTTGGCACACCACCACACTGTGTGTGTGTGTGTGTTTGTTTGTTTGTTTGAGTTTGAGGCTTGATCTTTTGTTCTCGATTTCCAGAAGCCGAACAGATGTTGGGCTTCCCCTAAGCCTTCTTCTGAGCCTTGCCTTTCAGATTGGTTGTCGGCCTGGCTGTCACTGTGTCTGTTTGCTTTGTGTGTTACTCTATTCGGTCACGGTCGGCAGCTTTTTGTGATTATACGTGCTGGCTCGTTTGCTTGTGTGCTTGTGTGCTTTGCTTGCTTGCTTGCTTGCTTGCTTGCTTGCTTGCTTGCTTGCTTGCTTGCTTGCATTCTTTCTTTCTTTCTTTCTTTCTTTCTTTCTTTCTTTCTTTCTTTCTTGCTTCCTGCTCTCTTTCGCATTGGTCTACCTTCGTTGTTTGATCGTTGTTTGTTTGTCGCCCGTCGGGTATGCCGCTTCCACACCCTGATGTTGGGCTACAGGCCATGAGGCGGGCAAGGGGCTGAGAAATGAGACTTATTCAGATGACTTCAACATGCACTTACGACTTAAGTGTTTCCAGGGAGCAGCGAGCAGCCGTGCGGAGACCAATTTGCTGCTAAGTTGAGGGGCGGGCTTCCAAGTAGTTATCAGTAGATGGTTTCTGGGGATGTACCTGTGGCCGGGTTTAACATCACCTTTCGGGCCAACGTAAATTCGCCACCACTTGGTGGGGCCATATTGCAAAGAATCCCCATTCCCGCCTTTCCGAGGATCCTTCTTAGCGCGGCAAAAAGTCGTTTCGAGCCATGAGACCGCGCTATCCGCTTTCCGCTTTGAAGGCGCAACTGGAGGATATGCATGTCTAGCGCGCAAGGGTTCCTCAATGCGCGCGTTTCCCTTGGGGCAATAGATTCATGCATCCCCAGCGGAGAAGCGGATTCATTCTGCACCCAGCCTGCTTGGTCCTGAGGACTGCGGAGACGACCGGCCCTTCCCCCGCTACCCCTACACCAGCGCTGCCTTGCGGGAGCCAGCGGCCTCAGGTCCTCAAATTATGCGCGAGACTTGTTGATGGTGCCCAGTTACCCCTCCCCCCTGCATATGGTTTTGTCGTTTCTAAGGGTGCCTTTTTTTGGGCGTGGTGTTTTTTTTGGGGTCCCCTGAAAAAGACAAACTCCGATGAAGAAGCCTTAAATCAGTGGCTTGGATTGGTGACCTACAATTGGAATTGCCAGAGGGTAAATGGGAAACCACCCCCTAAGCCCCAATCCACCACACCTAACCATCAATCCGACGGCATTGCAGGAGTTTGTAAGCCAGAATCAATGCTCAAACATCGATGTTGTGCTTGGCTTTGAGGCTTGGGTCGGGTTTATGTGTGCGTGTTCCGAATTCCCGGCCGCTCTCGGCTTCCCCGTTTCGTCCATCTCGTTTTGGCAAGCGAGCCGTTGGTCGCCAGTGGGCCAAGGCTGGTTGACCGGAACGAGGAGATGGCCAAGCCCTTGCCCACGAAGGCGGATTGATCCTTTTTGTGGATTGAATCGGTGTCTGTGCGTTGGTACCATGCAGGCGCTGCTTGTGGAGGTGCTGGAATTCCACGCTAGACTTTGTTTTGTGACTTTTGTGGCCAATTTTTGCAGCTCTTGGCTGAGCCAAACGGAAAAAAAAGAGGCTTTGGACGGAATCACATGTGCCCCACAGGACCTTTTTGGGGCTGTTGTTTTTGATACCTATTTGCATTTAATTTTGATCCTGAGAGGATGTTTTTTGGTTTGATCCTTCTTTGTTTCTTCTTTTGATACCTATTTTGTGTCTTGTGCGGCTTTGCCCAGCCGAAAACTCCGAGAATCCGGTGTGCAGGTTGGCCACGCCGTCCCTTCCGCTTCGGGGGAGTGAACCAGAGGTTCGAAGCGAGGGCATCAAAGAACTTCCCCCCTGCACCCCTTCCCACTCCCAAGAAAAGAAGAAGAAAAGATAATAAGAAAGAAGAAGAAGAAGAAGAAAGAAGAAGAAGAAGAAGAAGAAAGAAGAAGAAGAAGAAAGAGAAGCAAGAGGAGAAAACGGCCCAAACAAGGGGGCCGGCCAAAAGACAAAACCCGGTGGTTTAGGCCCCAGGTTCCAAAGGCCTTGGCACGCCTTCGGTTTCCGAGTCAAATTCCACCGGACCCCTGGCAGGCGCTGGCTGCAGATCCGGGCGATGCGGCTCTGGCTATGGTTTTTCGCTATGGGAGAGATGCCCATAGCTTCTACTTCACTGTTGGCGCATTACTTTGGTGTTGTTTAGTGGTTTTTTGGTATATGAGTTCCGTTCATTTTGAGTAGGGGGCTGCCAAAAAAATGAAGAACAAGTGTTGTTGTGTTTTTTGCCGAGCCATACCAAGGGTTGAAACGTTTTAACTTGTCCATTTTGAGGAGAACAAGGGGGTTTCCATGACCCCTATTGGCGATCTTCTGATTTCCAGAACTGGGGAAATCCATTGGGTATTTTCCGGTTTTTCCCGATCCCCCTATTTAACACCTCGTTTTTTGCTTGCCAGATATTTTGTGGTCTGACATGCGGGGACCTTCGCTTGAGTATCAAGCTTCATTCCTGTTTCAAGCAGAACTCTTCTATTCGGGTGGCCCTGCCCAGCATTCAACCCCAAGCTGTTTTGGCCCAGCAACTGTGACTGCTGTCAACTCGCTTTTCCCATGTGCACAGTCCCAAGTACTGCCCAAAAGCACGTTCTTCCAAATCCGACTGAGTATTCAGGGTCAACTTCAACCCGGCCAGGAGTTGGGGCGCGCATGTTGGTTTGAACCTGACCATTGCGAACATCCGGATGCTGAACACCCCACATGTATGAAACAAATTTCATGGGGGGCCAAAAGATGATGGGAAGTGTCTGGGCGCTGAATAGTCCATGGTTATGTCACGCGTGTCCTAGAAGGAGGCCAAAAGGGGATGGGAACTCGTTGATCTTCTTTGGGTTTCAAGCACAGCACCCATGGCTTCGGCGCCTATTCCAGATGCAAGGGGAACCAGCCGCTTGGATCGAAGGCACTGGAGCTCACGAGCGACGGGTGAGCCCTGTGAGGACCACGGCCTTTTTTTCCGGGTCTCCGGCGGTTTGAGGTTCAATTGGTTGAGCGGCTGAGAGGCTTCTACCTGGAGTCTCCATGACCCTTAAAAAATGGGTCCATTTCCCCTTAATTTTGGGTAAGGACTCATTTTTTAAGGGTCATGGAGACTCCAGGTGCTGTGGATGGTGGCGCAATCCGCTTCTCGCACCGTTCCGAAACCCTGGAATGATCTGCAATTTCCCAGTGCAAATAGCAAGAACCAATACCATCCCATGGTTTCAAAGTGGTGGATGTCGTCCATCCGCAGAATGAAGGCTTGTGGTTTGGATAGGGCAGGCGCGAGTCCTGAGGAACCGTCGCTGCTCGTTGGACGTGGCGTCAAAAACGTCCGCATGCTTGAAGCAGGTTGCGTTGGATCAGGCAGGCCTGTAATTTTCTGTGCTTCTTCGCAGGGGTGAGTGAAGGAAAAGGAGTCCATGAATTTTGCAACCAAAGAGTTTACACATGTCAAAGGTCAGAAAAGCAACGAAAGCTAGCCGAAAGCTAGCCGTGCTGCGAGAGTGCTCTTAGCTTTCGCTTCTTTCAGGGGCTGAACTTCCTACAATGCTTGGATTAATCAGGTTTCGGGGGGGCGAAACTCAAAAATCGCGAGAACTGATTTTTACTTGGGGGAGGCCCCTCCCCCCTCAAAGAGTTCGATTTCGTCATGACTCGCCGCCCACCCCGCACGTAACTTCGTCCACACGTTTGCAGCTAAGGACTCTTTCTCATTAAGACCTGGTCCAAGTTTGGGTCTTAATGATTTTCTGGACGCTTGTGTAAGATTGCAGTTCTTAATGTCTTGGCAACCCCTGGGTCGTTTATGTCGATGTTGGGCTGGCTAGCTTTCGTTTGCCCGGCCTCTCAAGTTGAGGCTCCATTTCCTGTCTGGCCCGTCGATCAGTGAAAGGATAGAACGTTCGGTTAGGCATCTTTCCCGCGTTTGAAGTCAGACGTTTGAATTAAGGTTTTCTTTGATGATGTTAGATTTTCCGTGCATCCAGCAAACTCCCAAGCGCAGCACGAAAGAACGCAGCATGTGTCGCGTTTCGCGATGGGCAGTTTGGGGCGTATGCCTTGGAACGAAAGAAAGTAATGACAGGAATGCCTAAAATAGCTGTTTTTGGGATCCCTTTTGGTTGTCTTAAAAACACAACCTGCTAACAATTCATAGGACGCACATGGCTCAGTGCCACAGGATTCGACTTGCACCAAGGTCCGGACACCTGCCGAGCGTTGTGCGGGGCCCGGTTCAACTCGTGACAGGCCTCTTAAATCGGGCTGCAGGGGCGTGGGTGGCTTGTGGGTTCAAGCAGCTGGCGCAAATCCCCCATGTGGGTTTCATCAATCCCGTTGCTTGCCGAATCTTTCCGACGAAGGGAGAATTGCACCAACTAGCTACAACTTGGTGTAAATCGCGCACAGCGGTTTCTGATCGCTTTGAACTGCAGTGGGGCCCATCATCCTGCAAATCTCGGGTGATGCCAGGGGCAAGGCAAAAGTCGGGGTCAAGCGCCATCAATATTTTAGTTATCTAAACCGCTGGTGTTGAGAAGGTCGCAGTTTTTCGGCCCACGGCCCAGCGCCTTAACTCACAAGGGCTTAAGGCCTTAGGGGGTTCATGGGATGCTCGATCCGGTCGCACTCTAAACCGGAACTCAGGGCTCTGCGCCGTTTGTTTTTGGTCGTGCCAAGGTGCGCCCAATTTGCTCGCATTCATGCTGACACCTCATCTTTGCCTACACTTGTCCTCCACATGATGCTTCCTCGCGTCCCGCGCAAGCACCATTTGTGAGGGGCCCCTTACAGCATACAACATGGCCCTTGTAGTTGTTTTGTCAATTGCATTCTGCTTTGTACCTCAGCTTGTCCATTGCAAGGTATGTCACTTCACTGTGTGTTTGCCATCGTATGAGTCGTGTGTCCATACCGGGGCCCGGTGCACGTCACTCTGAGACTCAGGCCTTGCGCAGCCTGTGGTGCGCTCGGAGCAGCTTGGGGCCCGAGCTTTGTGGACAATGAGGGACGTCTCAAGGGGTGTCGCATTCGCAGTCCTTTTCAACCATGGTCCGTTTCAAACTGTAGCTGTTGTCCTTGAGTTTTGTTGTTTGACTTTGACAGGAGAAAACATATTCCTGGGCTAATGGGGAAGTTAGCAGCGCAGCAGCAATCGCTTTTGTTTCCGAGTTCCCTTGCAGTCCATATGGAACCCTAACAGCGATTTGTGTGTGTGTGTCTTTTTTTGAGGGTACCTTTGTTTGTGGCTTTAAAGGAAAACCAAAAAAGAAGACAACATAACCGTTTTGGGGGTCACCCCGAAAAACGGGACACCCCCATTTGGATCCCCAAGAGATTCCTTTAGTTTTGGGTGGCCTCGTGTCGCGAGGTGATGCCTGGCGGGTGCGAGCCCGGTGCTCCTGAGGCGATGTGGCTCAACCCGGACGTTGCGGCAAATCAACATGGAACCCACATGGGCTGAAAAAAATACCCCGCGCCTTTTCGTTATGTAAGGGGCCGTCCCTTAACTTGTTTCGCAGGCCAAAACCATTGTAAACCGATACAGAGGAAAAAAACCGATACCCCCAGAAGCCATGAAGACACACATCAGGTCCTAGTTGTTGTCGCAAACCAAGATTGCGGAATCATAAATTTGCAGGGCCCAAACCGATACCCAAACCGATACCCAACCGATACCCAACTCATTGGCCGCCATGCCGAATCCAACCAGCTGCCCTGCAGCCTTCTCTGGAGCTGCCAACATGTACTTTGTGTACTACATTTGTACTGAAAAGTTGCGACTGCCGCTGTGGAGCTGCCAAAATGTACTTCGTATACTACACCATACTACACTTGCTTGCACTGAAAAGCTGCGACTTTCGAGCCGGAGCTGCCAAAGTGTCCTGCGCATACTACTGAAAAGTTGCTACTTTCCAGCTGGAGCTGCCAAAATGTACTTTGTGCTACACTTGTACTGAAAGTTGCGATTTCCAGCTGGGGCTGGGAGCTGGCAGAGTGTACTTCGCATACTACACTTGTACGGAAAAGTCGCGACTTTCGAGCCAGAGCTGCCAAAACACTGCAAACCGATGCAGAGGAAAAAAAACCGATACTGACCGATACTGAGGCATAAGGATACAAGGGTTGTCCACGGGGTTTTTTTTCAACCCACATGGCCGGGTGGTGTGCCTTCTTTTTGACAGTGCTCTTCTTGGTTGGTTTTGAAGGGAAACCAGCTTTTGTTTCCCGGGTGGGGGGGGGGGCTTTTCTTAGGGGACCCCTCTCCCCAAAAAAAGCAGCAAAAGACGAACATGTGATTTTGTCATTTTGGTTGCCCTTCAAAACCACAACACGAAACGGGTACTATCAGCAAAACAGACGCACGCATACAATTGAGCCAGGCCTTTTCCTAAGATAAGCTTCATCTAAGACTGATGGTTTTGCGGCGGCTTCCATGTTAATTTGCAGGAGTTCTGCAGAAAGTTGAGTTTTTCCTTCAAAATGGCCCCCTAGCTGTTTCTCGCATTCCACTCCAAAAGCCATCCTCTTCAGACCATGTAGGTACGGGGAATGGTCAGGGGATTGGCCAATTGACAAGCAAAGGGGTGGTGGTCAGGGGACATTTTCGGACTCCTGTGGCACAGAAGTGTGGTAGTTCAGTTGAAGCCTTGCCGCGCAGGCGAAGCCGCAGTGGCAATGCAGCGCCTGCGGCGGGGGAGCCCAAGGTTTGAATACCTCGTCGTGCGCAGGGAAGACGAACTGTTGCCAAGTGAGTCATTGTGTTTGAGCAGGTCCCATATGGTCCCATAGTTTTTGGCACCCTTTTTCCTTCTTTTTTTTGGTGTTTGGGCTCTCTACAAAACATGGTGAACCCTTTTGCTAAGGGTCTTTGGGGCTCTGGACGAGTAGGCGCGGGGGGATTTCCCAGGCCGGGAGACGGCTGGTGATGTGCTGCAGCAAGCCGCCGAGACGCAGCTGACGCCGCTCGGAAGATGGGGGGCACGGGAAGCCGACGTGTGGTCCCAATGAGCGAGCGGAGTGGATCCCTTGATGTTAGGGATGTTAGATCCTCCCTACCCGAGAAGGGTTCTTAGAACCCTGAAAAGGGCTCGGATCAGATGCCTTCCTTTGGTGGGGAAGGGGGCTAGATGGTTCTCCTATTGTCGCCTTTTGCTGCCTTGGCTCTCCACTTAGAAGTTGCCAGGGAAAGGGTGAGCTTTTCCCGGACTTGGGGCAGGCTAACCTTGAGAATTCGGCCAAGCGTGACTGTAACTTCCTGGAACTATGCTTGCGCAGGAGTGTGTCGAGCTCAATGGTCCGGGCAAAGCATGGCGACCTTTCCAAGGCGATTTGCAACCTCCCCCACGGTCAAGGTTCCTTTGACAGGATGTGTTTTTTTGGGCTTTGTAATGTGTCAAAGCTCACCCAACAGTTGCCTTTCTCTTGGAACTGCGCGCAATGCAGCGATGAGGCGATGAATTGATCGCTCCACTCAGCTTTCCTCAGGATTAGGATGGATGCCCTCAGCCCTTCCAACAACTCCCGTCGAAGGAGGTTCTAAGAACCTTTCCTTGCGGCTTTGGGGTCCGTTGGTGCTTTTCCCGATTTCGGGCTGCGCTCCCATGTTGACAGCGTACTAGTACGCCACATGCATGGATGTGGGATTATGTAGGGGGGACATTAACTCGTCCGCTTTGTGCAGATGTGGCAGGGGAATATATGCTAAAGGAGGGGACCCCAGAACAGTTGGTCACCTGTTGTTATCCTTGAACGCGAAGGC